TCCATCTTAGGCTGGATGCGAAGAAGCTTAAACACCGCTCTTCTGAAATCCGCCATCCTATACGTGAAGATGACGAGGTTGAAACAGCTTCCAGCCAAACGGAGGAAGAATGGGATCCTAAACCAGGGTCCGTTTCGGTATGGAATATTAAGCCCAGTAACTACCACCGTTGACGCAGCTGCGGTAGAGCCGTACACAAGTGTCACTATAGCTGCTGTTTGAGACTTACTATGATTTCTGATTCCGAACGCTTTATCTTTTCTAATATGTCGTCTGCTGACGTAAAACACTCGAGCATAGATGGCAACTGTACATACTTGAAAAAGCAAAGCCATTGCGCCGGAAACACGACCAAGCACAAATGAATGACGTGGATAGAGGGCTGAATGAACGGCGGCGTTGACCGCTATAACGACCCACGTGAGGATGACAGTCTTGAAGCATCTAACCACCGTCATATGGCTCCTGTAGTGAAATGGCTTTTCTACACCATATATACGCTCAACAGCCAAGACCATGATGTTTGCAACTGATAACTGTAGACAAAAAGCTATAACGAAATGTCTAAAATATTGAAATCGACTACAGTACAAATCCGGAATGTGGTCGGGGAGGATGTTCACAAGGAATCCGACGGTGCAGTAAAAGACGTCTCCTGCTGCCAGATTGGCGAGGAAGACGTTGCAAGATTTATGCAGCGTCCTCGTGGTCGCAAAGGCGGCAATGACGATGACGTTACCGACGCTGCCGACAATGACAACAATAACGCCTACAATAGTGATGGCCATTAACCACGCCCCTTCAAACCTCCTCTCGACGATTTCGGGGGCGCAGTATTTGAGATATGATGTATTGTTCGTCATGAATTCAGTCATAGCGGCAAGGCGATGTGTATCCAACTCCACAACCGACCGCCATACACACTGAACACATATGATGGTATATCTGGACGAGTAAGGACTTATACATTCACAGCAAGTTAAAAGGGTATCACGTTCAGCATATTGCGATGTAAGAGTCGCTGTTATAGAATGAGCTCCAATATCTCACACAAACCAGATCTCGTCCACAGTTCTTGTCACAAGCTGGAATTCAAACTACATGTATTCCTGTTGACGCCGTTATTTCAAGGCTTAAGATATTTCAGTTTAGCTTTGTTGTTCGCGCTTTGTCTTCCCACACGGGTAGAATGTTAAGCCTATATGTCTGGAGTCCACAACGTGGTATTTCTGTGGTAGTGCTTAAAGCGGCGTAAAACCATACTTGAGGCCCCTTCCCTGGACGTGCACGTGTATTTTTATAGATCTTCGCTCCACAAGTCCATGTAGGTGTCCTTGTCCTATTGAAGCACAGAGTAGGTGGACAATCAGAGAAACAACATACAGACCAGTCTGTTTCAAGACGTATGCCGTTTTCTCAGGGACAGATATTGTAAAGACCTGGGCTAGGTATGATGCCTCGAAGTATAGTCTTTATATCCACCAGAACTGAAACACCTTGGCTTCCCACGCCTGCACACCTGTTCCTCTTGCTGGTCTGGCCATGTGGAAGACCGTACAGTTGCCTAGCCTGGCTTAGGCTTTGTCATGCGCTACTGCTGATTGCAATGATTATGAAATATCCGAGTATAGACATTAATATGGCTGTGGGATCGCCTAGCAGGTAAAGCGTTCGCTTGTCAGACCGGGGATCCATTTCCCATATGGATATGCATTGAAAATTACTGAAATATAATGTATATGCTGAAGCCCTCACGCGCGCACGCCCGCACGCACGCACGCACTTACGCACCCACCCATTCACCCACTCACGATGCTTTAGGACGTCAGGTTAGAAAGACCGTTTAGTGTAGGACGGGAGAACATATATTTACAACACTGACCACTTGTTAGAGGCAAATAACTCCTCATCTTCAGTACTTTTAACCCGTCATTTATTTCATTTTGCTGGGAATGGGGAGAGTGGACTGTCACGACTATTTCCATTTTATTACGCTCGATTGTTGTCTTCGAAAATTTGTTTTCTATATTCTTGTAAATTTGTGGGGGCTGCAACATAAACAAACCTTATAATCGCCATTATCTCTGTATTGTAGGAAATATTCTGAGACGGTGCTTCGACACTTGTAAAGCAAGGATATTTCGATCAGTCTGTACAGTCCATTCAGTGAATGATTTAAATATATTTTATTCATGAATAAAACTGATCACACACAAGTTATCAAAGTTAGAAAACACCCTTTCCCAGCAGTTACACGCAATATGAATCAACAGGATGTTAGGAACAGGACACGTACACAGAGTAAGGAATAAAGGGGACACTATACACCGGCGAAATATTGATAAAGTCAGGAACAGGACACGTACAGAGAGTAAGGAATAAAGGGGACACTATACACCGGCGAAATATTGAAATAAAGTCAGGAACAGGACACGTACACAGAGTAAGGAATAAAGGGGATAAAGTCAGGAACAGGACACGTACACAGAGTAAGGCTTAAATGTCAGGAACTGACACGTACAAGGGGACACTTTACACTGGCGAAATATTGTTAAAGTCAGGAACTTCACTGCTGCAAATATGAAATATTTCTGTAAGTTAACTAAATTTCAGTGAACACGGGTTTCAACATCACCAGATATGGATTCGAAATATCCATTTAGAATGTTTTCTTTTCTATATTTAAGAAAGCGGTAGGACCTCTATTCTTTAGTGAGTGAGTATAGTGTTACGCCCCTTTTAGTAATATTCCAGCAATATCACGACGGGAGACACCAGGAACGGGCTTCACAAATTGTACCCATGTGGGGAGTTGAACAGGTCTTCGGAGTGACGACCCACTAGGCTACCCAACCACCCCTCAATTCTGCAGAGGGGTGGTTATTATTATGTTATTGTCTTTGCTACCTTGTTCTCTAAATTAATTTTGCTACTGTTACAAAATAATTATGCTACTGTTACACACACACGCGCACGCACGCACGCACGCACGCACGCACGCACGCACGCACGCACGCACACACGCACACACATAATTTGACTCTTTTTCTAAGTCTGTCCCTTTTCCTGGGTTTGCCATCAGGTCCTATTGTCTATTGATTAGATACAGTTTAGATGGTACCCATTGGTTTGTTAACTTGGTTAATTAAAGCGTTCTGCATATTTATCATCCGTGTAACAGTTAGAACCAATCTGTACAACTTACGAGCGCATTCAGCTTATCGTACTTACCACACCAATAACACCAATCTTGCATTTACATTGTACTAGAGGTATACGGATCTATGTAAGTATATGTCCCCTTATGATCGCTTATTGACACCGGTAATCAATGAACAGGCAGATCTAAACATCTTTCAAGACTTTAATTACAACAGAGGCCAACAGAGTGAGACTTTTTGTGAGTAATCTTAATATCATTTACCCAAGATGAAGCAATATGTGACTCATTGTTAGGTCATTACTTGAAGAGCGATCCTACAGGTGACAGTCCCATTCAGATTGTGTTGTCGTACATGTTTCACATCGCCTGATAACGTATTGTGCACGGATAGTGCGAAACTTCAGGCCTCATTCTCTTCGGAGCCCCGTTACCTGCCAGAGATAGGGTGTACATGCTTGGTGAGTGAGTTTGCTTTTACGCCGCTTTTAGCAATATTCCAGCAATATCACGGCGGGGGACACCAGAAATGGGCTTCACACATTGTACCATGTGGGGAATCGAACCCGGGTTTTTGGCGTGACGAGCAAACGCTTTAACCACTAGGCTACCCCACCGCCTCGTACATGTTGGGAAATTATATCGATTTTGAAGGCCCGCACTCCACACAGTATATGGACTGTTTCTGATTAACAGAAACACGCCTTAAGTGCTGTACATTTTGCGATTAGAATATATCCGTTGAGTGAATGAACGGGATTTTAAAGCTGAGTTTTGGCATTCCATCCTTGCACCCTTGCTGAATGTGTCGTACGCACATTACCCATCTAGGAATCGAACCTAATTCAGTGTAACAAGTGAACAATGTAAGCACGGAGATGCCCCACCAACCTCCTATAATGTGAACCATATTGATGCATGACTGTGAGCATAAACAAGTTAACAAGGGCGGAAAGGTAGGAGTGGCGTCCCTTAGCTACTTAGCTACCAGGATCCACCAGGCGTGAGTTTGAATCCCAACTGCGCCCACAGTTTGATCCTCCGTGCAATACCAGTTTTTCGTTCCTGAGAGGTAAACGTATTATGCATAATATGGAATTATACCACCTAAAACTTATAAGCTGTTTCTGTAACTGAAACACCTGTCCCACTTTAAACTGATACGCTGTTATGTGGCTGAAATAGCTCGCCCACTTTAAACTGATACGCTGTTATGTAACTGAAATATAGCTATCTCCACTGTGTGAGTAGTTGACCATGCTCACGGTCACTGCAGTACTGACAGTGAGGCCTAAAGCCTATAGATATGCAGCGTGCTGATATATGGAGACCTGATTATTCAGTCTATATGATAACACGAGATACCGTCGGGTTCAAGGACAATCTCCTTTTCTCCATCGGCTACCGAGGTAGGTTGTTTCATTGGTCAGCATTCTTTAATGCGTAACTATCATATGTAAAATGCAGAAATTGATGCATTAAAAACCTGTTCCCGCTTCACATTTAAATGTGAAGTTACTGTTAACTGACAGTAATTTCGCGCTGAAGTAAACCATATGTGAGTACATATATCAAAAACGACGATAACCATTCGTTCTGTGTGATTACAAATGGATAATAGATTTTCTAATAATTTTAATCAATTAAGGATTTAAAATAGTTAACAGGGCGTTGATTGTTTTTACTTTTAAGGTGTATTGACCATACTGCTGTGGGTTTAAGTAAAACCATTCTCACAATGTTGACCGCTGTATTGTGACGAACCTGACAAACTTATCTGATAGTGCTATCATAGGGTGAACTGTGTCACTGCCTTTTGAACAACTCGAACACCAGTAAGAAATAATGATTCCAAATGTTGATTCGAAAACAGGTTTGCAAATAGGGCTCTAAATGTATATTCCGATTAAGGTTCTGAATGTAGGTTCCGAGTGAAGGTCTCCGATGAAGGTTCTGAATGTAGGTTCCGGGTGAAGACCCCCGACCAGGGTTCAGAATGTAGGTTATATTATAAGTTGTTCACTGGTCACGAGGGGGACATGGGTTGATGTACTCTCTATGTTTGTTTATGTTCCCTGAGCCCGAAGGGCGAGGGGAACATAAACAAACATAGAGGGTACATCAACCCATGGTCCCCGAGGGAGCAGTGAACAACGTATTCATCTTACGGAACACTTCAATGTTAATTTTGAACTGTTTGAAGGACGGGTATTGGATCATAAATACGAAGTACCGGAGTTAGGCAACGGGCAAAACACTACAAGCACGAAGTACCAAACGAATTCCCACAGTTCGGCATTTCCAGCGGGTAACATAGAAAATGTTACTCGCGTCTAGCGGCATCCTCGATAATCTCCAGGGTATACATACCCGGGAGATTATCGAGGATGGTAAGCGGGGTACATTGATTGGCTCAGCCAATCAGAAAACGATATATATGTGTGAGGTAAGATAATAGATGATATTTTAACATGTTCATAAAAGAGTGAAACCTAAAAAAACTTTAAGTATGATCTAATTCTCTACCTGTACCACGTGTGTTCTGATTACATATATTTTCTATTTAGACCAACGAGATGGGAAGTAGTCTGAATCTTCTACTGGTTACAGCGTGTTTTCTTCTCGTGTATACAGGTATGGTATAACCAGGGATAATCTACAACGTTATATAGTCTCCATGGTATAACATATGCCCAAACTGGCATCTTCCCACGAAGCATCGTTCTGTGAATTCGTTAGCACATATTACATAGAAGGTGTATTTGATGCCGTTATATAATCTACTGAACGAGTTCTTCCTCGGTATCTCAATTCACTGTGTAGTAGCACCCCTTTAGTGTGCCAGGAGCCAGTGATCGTGGGTTCGGAATGATTACTCTCAGCCTTGTGCAGCAGCTTCAACTCCATCTTCAGTGACCTCGGGATAAAGGAGTAACTTCACTAGTTAAATGTCTCCTCGCTTTAAGCAGCATTCCAGCAACACAATTACAATAATTGGCTTCACACATTGTATCCATAACAAGAATCGAACCTGGGTCTTCGGCGTGACTAAGTTAAGATGTAACCAGTAGGCCAACCAACTACCTGATGATAATATGATAAAGGTGACTGTTGGATTAAGTTTTTTTGGCTAGTGCAAGACGGAACCACGTGAGGGGTTAAATTGAGGGTGCATTATTTACCGACATGTTTTTGCGAACCATTTTATATGCTGACAAAGGAGGGAAAATTATTATTTACCCAAATTTTAATCATGCAATGAAAATTTTATGCCTAAATATTGCAAAACTATTATTTTTCTATTGTACAGAGAACAACCTTTCATTTGATGGTGAATTTGTTTGAATGTGAACATTAATAAAGATATTTGGAAAATTATGATTTTTAGTGTTTTTGACCCCAAATCCGGTTTTACCAGAAAGTGTCCACGCGAATATTTCCACATCTTTTAACTTTAATTTGATATATAGATCATGTTACCAATATATTGGGTTTGGCCCTAATATTTACCATATATTGTTGGCACAGGCCTACCAGTGACGTCATCAAACTCCCAGAAAGTTGACATATCATGCCGCACGAATTGGTTGAAAGCGGACAACAGCTGTTACTACTGGACAGTTGCTGACCAGGTCACGTGGGCTGGCGCCCGACTAGAGTGCCAGTCTCGGGGGGCAGATCTGATGGTGATCAACTCTGCCAAAGAACAGGTGAGTACTCACACCTGAACGTTACCAACGTGGACGCTCCCGACCATAAATATGTGTCATAAATCTCCAGTAAATAGCGATGATACAAGGTGTTCGGTAAAGGGTCGTGCCATAATGGCGGAACCGTCACAAACACATGCAAGGGCACGTCAAGTTTTGACCATGTGGAATGTTCACACCAGGTAGAGAAGGCACTGTCACTTTGTACGTTTTGTGTGCAGGACTGGGTGGACGTGCAGACAGGGGAGGCGAAGACTGACGGATGGTGGGTGGGTCTCTCCTACAGCGTGGACGACGTGCAGTGGGAGTGGCTGGACTCTACCGTCAGCATCGACGGCATGTCAGTAATTGTTAGCAGCATTAGGGGCTAATACAACGAGTATCTATCCAAGTGTTGCCCAAGGTGCAGAGAGCATAATGTACACCTGGAAAAGGGTTAAGTACATGATTAACGAAATGCTGGAGACAACCGACAAAATAGGCTCTAACGATGAATGTGATTTGTAAGAAAAACATTGACAATATGAAACACTTACCATTGTCAGCCGACAGTAGCTTTTAATTAACCACGTGTGCTGTTTTCACTCCAAAAGAATAATTCTTTTATGTAGAGGGTTGCAGAGTTCATACGACGAGTTAGATTGCAGGATACAAATGACAATCTGAGTCATCTGAATGTCGGTCCAGCCCCTCCATGTAAACACTGTAGGACAGAAGAACACCCAAATATGGTGCCTGCACATAGCGTAATGAATGTTGGGGTGGCATGCTGTACTGTACTTGAGTTCTGACGTCGAACATAAATGGTAACTTCCTTATGAAGTCTTCAGTTGATATTAATATGGCGTTATACTCATTACCTCAGGTGTGCTAAACCTTTTCCAGGGGTACATTTTAAGGGATATCAGGGATTTAATGAGATGTATGATGGATATTGATTCAGCAATCACAAGTTTATCTGTTGCTGCTGTCAATATCATGCGTTCCTATGAGACAATTTAAAGACTGGTTGATTACATAATTAAGAAGTTAAAGGTGAGGTGAGGTGAAATTGGGTTTTAGGTCGTACTTGAGAATATTTCGCTCATATGACGACGTGCATGCGTATGTATGTGTATGTGCGGCTGCTTGTACTAGCCCAGTCTTAAGCTGGTTTTATAGTGCTAGCTCACTGAGATACCATGCCGCAGTGAAGCATGAATACCCCACTCAGACACATTATACTGACTCCGAGCCGACCAGTCCTTGTTGTACCCATTAATGCCGAGCGTCAGGCAGGGACCAACAAGTACCATATTTTAACATCTTTTGGTATGACGCGGTCGGGGATCAAACCATCGACCTTCCGCTCTCCGGGCGGACGCTCTAAGCACTACACCACGGAGGCGGTCCTAAGAAGTTAAAGGGTAGAAGCATAACTTCATAACAATTGGACGAACGCACGGGTGAAAGAATATGAGCTACCGGGCAAAGGAAAGTAAACACCGACCAAAAATAGAAAGAAAGACGTATTTGAGATTTATGATAATTATTTTACAAACAGAAATCATTTTCCAATAATTTGACTGAAAATTCATTGTAATGCTGGACTTGCACGATTCGTTCGATGTTTTCTGACTGCTGCGTTGTTATCCAGTCGTAACTACTCGTGTCATTCCGGCAAGCCGGATCACGGAAAGAGGCGAGTAGTTACGAATGCGTTGTTATCGGGATCATGTTGCGTTTTGACGAATGTTTTCTGCTTGGGTTCAAACCTGTATCAGCGTTTTTGTTGTTTATACAATTACTTTAAAAGTGAAAACTTTCTTTTGCGAGGTAGTTTGTGATTTATATGCTGCAAGTGTACAGTAAATGAACATGCTGAACGCACATTATTATCAATTACATAGTCGTTCGAGATGACATAGAGGCGGTACAACTTGTATCATGGGACCCTCTATTATCGCAGTAGTGAAAGTTGTCCCTATCGGGATTATGACCTCCCACTGACATTTGGCATTTTATATATATTTTCAGTTGACTGATGTTTAATCTTCATTTCTGTCGCAAACAATGTGACACATAGTCGCAACTCGTTCAATACGATCGCGGCAATCCCGATTGCCTCGTTTGACCCAGAAATTGAAGCAACTCTCTGTTATCGCGTTATTGCTATTTTCTTACTATAGCACGCAGTACAAGCAAATGTCATTGTCAAACGTTTACGTAAGATAAGTAATGAATCTAAATAGGTTTGATATTAAATATTATTTAGCAATTTCATTAAGATTAGTAATATCATCATGTTTTTAACAAAATCATCTAAAACTTTATTTCATTTGGATGCAAGGTAACAATATCGTAAAAAAATAATTTTTGGCCGCCTTAAAACGTACCATTACAATTTTTTTGCCATGTGCAGGGTGAAGTTGCACAATACGTCACTTCCACTTGTAGGTTTAGGAGGGAAAATATGCAAATGACCTTGTAGTTAATTGTCGCAGGATTACTCTTGGCGAAGTAAGTTTTGATTTGTACAAGATGCAATGGAGGTAGGGGTCATACTAGTTTCAAAATGTTCCGGAAGTTACTGCAAAGATGAATACTTTAATATTTCTACGATTAGACATAATATTCCAATGGAATAAATTACTTTTTCAAGAGCGATTAATTTATTTTACGTAATTTGCATATGTAAACAGCCGATGCGGGGCGTGGTATTTCCGCTTTGCCGATGTTTTCACGTGCCGCGATAACAGGGAGTCCCGGAATAACAGTTCTTAAATGTACATATGAGTTGATAACCATAGTTTCAAGTTCAGGGTGAGGTGTCGAAGTTATGTCTGTGTCTGTTAAAGCCAGTGGAACCTTGAACCCGACAACTACGAGAACGAAGACTGCTGCGCCATCAACGAGTACGGCAAGTTCAGCGACGACGCCTGTCGGGAACAGTACGGGTACATCTGTAAAGTACAACGGACTAAAAGTACGAATACTTCAACTCCACCCCTATTCCCCAACCCCTTCCTTGTGGAGTGAGTGAGTGAGTGAGTGAGTGAGTGAGTGAGTGAGATTTGGATGGGTGGGCTACAATGATGCAGCTTGGTAATAGACTAACAGACAAAGAAAAGTACATTTGAAGTTTTCCATGCTTGGCAATGTGGCCATACGGGTCCGATTCTCAATGTGGCCATACGGGTCCGATTCTCACTGGGACCCTAGGGGAAGACGTATGATACTGGGTCCGATTCTCACTGGATGTGTACCCTAGGGGAAGACGTATGATACTGGGTCCGATTCTCACTGGATGTGTACCCTAGGGGAAGACGTATGGTACTTTACATAGTTGTTCACACCATATGGTGTACATCAAATTGGAAGAAGTCTGATACTGAGAAGCATGTGATTGTTGGCTGTCTCTGTCAGGCGAGCCATGCCCCACGCCTGCCGATGACGAACGCTGGGTGTTCCTGGACTACGCCTGCTACTTCATCAGCAACCCCTCCGACACTAGTGACCGCCTTTCCTGGAGCGACGCTAGGACAAAATGCCAGGGCTTGAAACCCAAGGGTGTGGCGGCAAACATGGATCTTTTGTCTATAGCTTCAGCTGACGAGTTCGTGAGTGTTGGAAATATGGAAACATCAAATATTGGTTTTTGCAACACCGAATCAGGGTCCCTATCTACAAAGCGTTCGTAACGTTACGACCTGTCGTAACCACAGGCCCTCGTGTCTTTGCGAGGATTAAAGATGTTAAAAAAACATAAAACATTTGAGATGACCCCCGACTCGAAATGCTCCACAGTACAATGCATTATGTCATAATGTATTGTACTGTGTAGCATTTCGAGTCGGGGGTCATCTCAAAAATAAAAAATTAATCGTTAATCTTCGCAGAGGCACGAGGGCCTGTGGTCGTAACTCTATATTTTATCTATATTGGATAAGGAAGGTCGTAGCGCTTTGAACGCTTTCTGGATCAGGACCAAGGACGTGCACTTGTGTCTTAGTATGTCGGTTTTCCAAATCATTAGTCAAAGAAAATAAAACATAAATTTCTTCCGCCAACAGTATGCGGAATCTCTGGGATATAAGACTGATCAAGACGAACATTTTTTAACCTTGTCCCTGTACCGACATAACCTAGTTGTTAAACAATGTCCTGATAATTATCTTTGTGGAAAGACTGTATAATGGTCTTCTACTGATAGGTGACGTTACTGAGTTCCACCTACTACAATAGCTGAACGGAGACACTGGTAATCGTGTGTCATCGTGCCTGGGAGATTGAGATCGTTGATAATCCGTGCCCAACTTGTGTAAACATTATAGCTGTATTATTATTTACTATGGAGAAACAGTCTACTGGACAACGGATTTGCCGAATCGAATTAGTCTCTGAACTACCATATTGCCGCAGCAAAAACAATAAACAACATATGTTTAAAAAGTGTTAAAACGTTAGCCACAGGGGAGCGAAATAATCTAATCCCTCCTTCGTTTCATGTTTTCCATTTACTGACAGTAAAACTTAGGTCGACCATGTTGTTTATAGATTTAAACTGATTCCCGCATCTCAGTTCTCACTTCATCTTCTAGAGATACTTCAACGAAGAACTACCTGATCTGTCGAATGCAGGCATGACACTGAAGTGGTGGACTGGCCTCAATGACCAACAGGCTGAGTCTATGTATGTCTGGTCTGATGGATCCTCTTGGAACTCATCCTACACGTGAGTGCAACATTACTACATTGGCTTGAACAATATAAGTTGTATGCTTCTCTCGAGGGTAATACGGTCTGATGTACGGTCACCCGAGCCGGTAGGCGAGGGATGACACTCCTACAAAAAGGCGTACATCAGACCGTATTACCCGAGGGAGAAGCATACAACGTATTTATCTTACCGCCATGTTAAATGTACAAAATATCATTTTATTTTATGGTAAAGATCGCTACCGACTATATGACATGCAAACAAAATGGCGTCTGCCTCTCGACTGGATTTTTAACATCAGTGAAGCATATTCCGACTAGCATAAAACTGCTATAAAAAATTCATTATGTTTAAGCTGAGTGTGCAAACCACTCAATGTATTAAATAGCGTAAATAAAGTAGTGAAAGTCGGTAAAATAAATCTGTACAAGTTGAACACACTCCGGCGCAGTGATGACTTAGCATAACATCACTGCCACAGGCTAATTTGCATATTACGTGACCGGACTTTTCTCTTGTTTGTAAACAAACGCGCATATACATAATAAGGAGAGACTTGCCTAACGCAAGCTTTCCGGCGCGCTCTTCACAATGTTTTACATTGTTACTTATATATTCTTCCACAACTACGACAGTAAGGTTTATGACAGTACATATTTAGATATCAAACTGGTTGCATCGTTCGCTCTCCGTCGGCTTCGAGGACAGCACGTGGAGCCGTACAACCTATGTAAACAATGAAATGAAATTAAATTATTTTACATGAAGGTAAGATAATACTCAATTCCCATTGGTCAATCAGAGGTTACAAGTCATAATAACCACACCATGTTATACAACTGTACAACAAGTACAAGTACAAGAAGCTAGTACAATACCACCTGCCGTGACATAAGCTGGTTCTCGGCTCCCTTTGCGGGGCCCAGCTTAGCCGTGACATAGCTGGAAGACTTCCAAGTTCGGCAACAACCACAAACCAGCTGTGAATTCATCAGGCAGACTAGTAAACGAATCGGATAATAATTAAGTAATTCAATATTAGGTTACGAATGTATTACGGTTTGTATTTTCATGGTGAATTAATTTTGTTATTCTATTCTAAGAACCACAACCAAAGGGACATTGCTTCTTGTATAGAGTATGTACCACTTAATGGATAGTTTTATTGACGGTATCATGAGGCGATGAGTAGTGAAATCAGGACCTATTGGTAGTAAGTTCACTACAATGATGAACGGAAGGACGATCCACGTAGGTGTTTTGGTTATTTTCAGAAGGAAAATGCAGGTATGACATCTTGATATGTTGGATGTAAAAGTTTGGAGGTAGAGGTGTCATCGAGTGAGTGAGTATGGGTTTACGACGCTTTTAGCAATATTCCAGCAATATCGCGACCGGAGACACTAGAAATGGGCTTCACACATTGCACCCATGTTGGGAATCGAACCCGGGTCTTCGGCGTGACGAGCGAACGGTTTCACCACCAGGCTACCTTTTGGACGTAGAAGTGGTAGAGACAGGTTATCGTAATGTTTGTAAAGATCTATTTCAGAAGATAGAAGAAGAAAATAGCATATGCAAATGTGTACTTTTGATGAGCTACATGTTTATATGAAGTGTTTATGAAAATACACGAGCAATGTAGAGCCACCCAAAGCATCATTATAACATTCATCATTCGAACCTTTCAAATCCGCGATTCCATACTCCATGAAACAAGAGATGACGTCAGATATTTCTTCTGTTTATATATTTTCTGATACAGATTCCCTACAATTACTGCTTCCCGTGTTTGTGTGAACACGTTTCGGTACATATACATGTTCCTGAAGATTAATTCAAGAATTGTTGTATAGGCCCTGGGATTCCGCCCCGAGCGGCGACCGCAGCCAGAATTGTGGCCTCATGTACACCGGCGGAGTCGTTGACGACGTTAAGTGTTCAGCCAGAGCAGGGTATATATGTGAAACCTCAGCTGTACACAGTAAGTACTGAACATTACACATACAAGATGCCAATGTACAGTAGCAGGACATATTAGTCTTGAATCGTGGTCGGCTGAATCGTAAAGTCGGATGATGATGATGTTTGCAATGTGGTTGGGATGACCACCGCAGTAGTATGTTATGGTTTCCCAAATGCCGAATGTTTTCTGCAGAATCGAAAGATCTGGGGTGCGCTGACCACTGGATTCGGGGAGGTAAACATTGCTATCTACTACAAAACCAAACAAAAAGCTACGTGGGCCGATGCCCAGACGTTTTGCAAGAACGGGAAAGGTCATCTGCTGAAGGTCGACGACGTGGATGAGAAGGTGAGAGACATGCATTCAGGAAGGCCATTAAACACTACATCAGTAGGGAACGATGAGCCACAATTATATTTTCAAAGTTGTTTTGACTCGCCTCAGGCTAGGTCATTGTGTAACATATGTTATATTTGGGATTACACTTTCTCAGTACAGATTCTAGTACTTTTGTTGGGTTGGGTGCCATCCGGGATTCGAACCTACACCCTCATATTCAGGCACCTAATCTCCAGCACACAAAGTCAGCCATCTAACCCACTCAGCCAACGAGGCTTCCACAAAAAAGGCAATTAGGTGCCTGAATATGAGGGTGTGGGTTCGAATCCCGGATGGGAAACAACCCAACAAAAGTACTAGAATCTGTACTTTACTGAGGAAGTGTAATCCCAAATATAACATATGTTACATTTGACCACTTTCTAAATGGCATTGTGTATTCATATGGGCCATTGTGGCTTGACTGCATATAGATTTGGAAGTAAAGTACAGATTCTAGTACTTTTGTTGGGTTGTTTCCCATCCGGGATTCGAACCTACACCCTCATATTCAGGCACCTAATCTCCAGCACACAAAGTCAGCCATCTAACCCACTCAGCCAACGTGGCTTCCACAAAAAAGGCAATTAGGTGCCTGAATATGAGGGTGTGGGTTCGATTCCCGGATGGGAAACAACCCAACAAAAGTACTAGAATCTGTACTTTACTGAGGAAGTGTAATCCCAAATATAACATATGTTACATTTGACCACTTTCTAAATGGCATTGTGTATTCATATAGGCCATTGTGGCTTGACTGCATATAGATTTAGAAGTATTTTGAATAAAGTCATCACTCCTGTATGTGAATATTGTCATTTACACGACACAAACGGCTCAGCACTAATAATTGTTACCTTGTGCAAGTCTAAGTATTGGACAGATAGTTAGGCTTTTTCAGGCCCAGGGTCAGCCTAAAACCTTACCTACCTCGCTGTGCCTCAGACGGATGGGTCAGTCAGATTTACAGATTTGTGTCAGTGTTGGTCGGCATCATCCATTTGGTGCTACAGATCGCCTGGAATTTAGTGTTGGTACAGTATCATGTATTTTCTGCAGTACTGGTTTGATCACATGTATCTGACCGGGGGGCGTGGCTACTGGACAGGGCTCAACGACCAGGCCAAGGAGGGAGATTTCAAGTGGGCCGATGGTACCGCCCCAAACAACTCGCTTATGTAAGTTATCCTGTAGCCCAAAGGTGTTTGGACAACCCCGCGATGATGGCTTGTCCTGGTATGTTCATACATGTACGTGTAGTTTGTATCACGTTATTTAGCACCATACTCAGCAATATTCCAGCTATATGATGGATGTCTGTTCCTCAAAGCAATCGTAGCGCTAATTTGATCGTAACTCCCATACTTTAACATAGACTTGTGACTGTCGTAACGCTACGATCGCTTTGAGGAAGGGGCCCAGATAGTACAGCAGAGACTGCCATCAGGAACATGTATGCACGCAGTCGGGAGACGAAGACATGTTGTCAACCATATCAGCGAGGAATGATCTCACGTACGCACGCACACACACATACATGCGTTTGGTTGTGAGTCAGTTCGAATCCGTGCACGACTTGTTTAACCCTGACTGCGAGTTACAGTGAAGATAATCCAGGCAACATATACCCGGAGAGTCCAAGGGACGATCCAGAAACCAGTTATCTGATCATGGTGAAAGGTTTTCACCTATACAAGCAAGCTTGGAGCATGAACAAAGTGTAGCTGACACCCTACGGTACTGTTGATGCAGTGGTATTAAATTAGATTTGTGACGTCATTCCATTGTCTGCTCGCTCCATTATTTTTCAGGAATGAAGCGATGTGTACCAGTTTCAATTGTAAGACCTTGATAGTTCGTACTCTTTGCATTACATTTGGCTTATAAAATTACCAATACTTTGAATGTAATTTAAGTAGGGTAATATCCTCGTAACTCTCCATTCCCGAAAAATAATGGAGCCGAGGCCCCGGAGGGTTACGAGGACGTTACCCTCTACTTCATGTCGAGCTGCCATTGTCACCGCCCTATCCCCATGAGGCAGCTAATATCGACAAGGATTTGATTTGCCGATTAATCTCAGCCGACTCAGCGTATTCTCACGGTAAAAGTTTCAACAGTTAGAACTATATATACGTTCTACCCCCTTCTGCGTGTTGTTCGTCATCACATTACACACAGGGTACTGGGTTAGTGACACAATCCAAACCAAACTCTATGTTTTCTCTCAATGCTAAACTTTCAGTCAGTGGGACAGCGAGCCGGACAACGCCAACAACCAGGACTGTACGAAGATGATGAGTGACGGCTCCTTCAGTGACGCCAGCTGCAACACCAGGGCCGGCTTCATCTGTAAATACACCAAGGACCCGGGGGCAGCGTGTGCGACAGGGTGGGCGACGTTCCAACAGTCAGGGTGCTACTACATCAGCTCCGCCAACCGGAGTCAGGGCCTAATGTGGAGCGAGGTGAAGCAGAGGTGTCTAGACCTGGCACATGTCTTCGACAGCGAGCTCCAGGCCTTCTATCTTTACATAGAGAGCAAGCCCGAATTGGTGAGAACGATCACCTAATCTCTAGTCGAACTTGTTCATCCGGGCGCTTCCGGTAACTATGTTCTGATATCGGGGTTCCGTCGAAATAATTGTTGTTTACACTTGATACAGTCAGATATAACCTTTACCGAGTGAACATGTATGGATAACCGAGGTTTCGATTCTCTAGAAAAAACAGAGTAGTATAAATTATGAAAATTGTTAGTGATATCTGTCAGAAAATAATATGCGCACTCTAAAACAACAACTTCCAGCTAAGACATAATGAATGTAAGTTGAAAGAAAGGGTATCTCAAGGATCTCAATTTGTAGTTTAAAGCATGTACATACATACTTCTTTACATTGTAATCATTATATCGAGTCAATGCATACATGCTCTGTAATCGATATAATAGTTCAAGATATACGTGCACAGCAATCAATATATCATGTCAGTACATATTTACTTAATATATTGTCATCGATACATCGGGTGAGTGCATACATTCACTTTAATCGACATCGAAATACACACAGACTATAACCGATATATCGTGGAAATACACACAGACTGTAACCGATATATCGTGGAAATACACACAGACTGTAACCGATATATCGTGGAAATACACACAGACTGTAACCGATATATCGTGAAAATACACACAGACTGTAATCGATATGTCGTGGAAATACACACAGACTGTAATCGACGAGGCATGCATTCTTGAGGATGTTTATGAAGTAGCAACCCTTTGCGGCAAGAGATGACCGGGCCATGGCTCTATGTCTATATTGGTTTGCAGACATGGTTGATATCCCAGCTACAACAGCAACCGGACCTCGGGATGATGTGGTGGACGGGGCTCAACGACATCGCCAACGAGGGTGTCTGGATGTGGGCGACAGACTTCGCCAACCCGGTCGACCTGACTTTGATGTGAGTGTTAGACATGAACAAACAGTTGAACACTGGTTTTATCCTCTGTGCTACTTATTCATGACACTGGCCAACTCACACATGTTCACGCTGGCGCTCAAATCACTCGCTAACTCCTCTTTATCCCGCACTCACACATCCACTCGCCAACCCACCTATTTATGTACTCGCTCACTCACAACCAACTCACTCACTCTATGACTGCAGTCCCTGGGACACTGAACCCAACAACTACGGAGGTAACGAGGACTGCGCTGTCATGCTGCCTGGTGGCCGCTTCAACGACATGCCCTGCAACGCCAAGTCCTACTACATCTGTGAGAGTGCGGCAGGTACGATAAACAAAACCTCGTTATTCCCCAAACTCTCCTTACCGGAAGATCCTGTTGTGAATATAAAATAATGATGAAACTAGTGAGTAAATCTCCCCGTTTCAGGTCTCGGCGCGTTGATGTCGACCCTGCTGGTGTGGATAGGGGTGATGGCAGCCCTTCTTACAAGATAACACCCAGACACCCGAGTAGCAGAACTTCCTTTGTCCGGACAACCTTAATCCAAACGCCGTTGTTCCCAAAGCTCAACCTATGCCTTTTTTAGGTTCGGATTAAGAAGGTTGAAACTGCACACAGTGTTATGGGGTACAGATTATACTATAAGTGATCGTTTCTCCAACAATTTGAATGTCACATTGTTCGGATTATAGAGGTTATTTTGTTTTACGTAGTTTGATTTTATGCTGTTTTCGGCATGTTTACAAACTTACTCAAACATCCCATGACGTTATGTCGTTGCATGATACCCTGCTTGCTCGGGACATCAGTAAAACATGATGCGCGATTTGATTCGCCTTTTGTGCCTCTCTCTTCAATAAAGCAATGATTGCGATAATTCTTCATTTTGAAATGGTGAACCGAATGTTGAGGTTCACACGTAACCGGCTTCACACGGATTGTTGTTGACGTCGCTGCCCCAAGGGTAAGGAGTGAGTTTCAACAGGTTCGACATCCAACATCTGTAACATTTCAACTGTATCATAAGAATATGTTAATTGATAAAAAACCCAAAGTGCTGATGCAAGGTATTCTCGTTGTTGCAACTCATCTTGCTCCACGTCGAAATCTATTTATACGCAGTATGACATTAAATACAGGTGCAATGTATATTGTACATACCAGATCGTGCCGTTATTGTATCTTAGATTACAGATTCTGTGAGCCAAACCCATCTCACCAGATAGAATAGCGTTAAATAATGGTCAACATCCGGGTTCTGCTGGGACCAGCGTCAGCATCAACGCGATGAGTAATTATGGATGTAAATTTAAACAAAATATGATTAAGTGTGCAGTCAATGTGTTGTTGTTTTTCATGTGTTTATAATCATACGTCTTGTACATGTATGATGACGTTACCTCGTTATGGAGATCAAGCTCAGGGGTCTTGAGGAGGTACTGTCTGTTGAGGAGAACCCCCTTCAAGTCACACGGTACCGGTTATAAGAAAAATTTGTGAATATAATTTTCTACAGGATTTGAAATACAGGACAGATATTCCAAAAGCGGTGTGAATTTTGATTCTCAATTTTATTTTGGTTCTTAGAGATGAAGTTAATTTGGTTAGTTTGTTTGTTGTAAAGGCCGCGCTCAGCAATATTCCAGCTACATTATGTCTGTAAATAATCGAGATTGGACCAGGTAATCAAGTGATCAACATCATGAGCATCGATCTACAATTGGGATACGATGAGTCAACCAAGTTAGCGAACCTGACCACCCTATCCCGATGGTCGCCTCTAGATGAAGTTGATATTCAGTATATCATAATAGAACAGAACTGGTATATATTACAGCAATTTCTGGCCCCAAATCGGGACCAACCAGTTGCGTCTGCGAACTAGTATATTGTATGCACGTTTCATAGCTGCAAGACGGCGTCAAACAATTTTCACTCACTCCTCAAACAATCGTAGCGGTCGACGTTTCCACAGTACAATGCTTTAACAGTGTAGAGGGGTCTGATGTTGTGGATACCGTGGTGATTTCATCATCGTGATCTTGACCATTACGCCAACAGTAGGGACACTTACACACAAATGTAAACTATTTCTGTATGAAGTGATTTAACATGTCATTTAATATATTTTGTTTTAATAAAATAATTAGTCTTTGTAATTGTTTGTTTTGTGGGCTTCTAATTGATGTTATCCCCATATTTCCAGTATGCAACACATTGTGTCTTCACATACGCATGAACCATTTCGCTCCTTTTAGAAATGACGTCATCACTGGAATCTCTCCTACCCGGAGCATCCATCAGTATAAGTTTAATTTGATTGGATGACTTATTTCCGATTCTTGTCTTCGAAAAGGACGAAAAATAGCATGAAAGAAAGATAACAGTAACATAAAAAAAAAGTTTATTAGGTTACATTTCAATTATAAAAAATGTTCCAAGTATTAATTTATTTGAAAATTAGAATTGTGTCATTTTTCAATTTCCTTGTGACACCAAGTTATATGAAATGGTACATTAACCTGATGTTGCAGGTGCCTCTTTGTTACACACGTTATATTTGGGATTACACTTTCTCGGTAAAGTACAGATTCTAATTTAGTACTTTTTTGAGGGGTTGAGTCCCATCCGGGATTCGAACCCACACCCTCAGAGTCAGGCACCTAATCGCCAGCACACAAAGCCAGACGCCTAGACCGCTCAGCCACCGCGGCTTCCACAAAAATGGAAGTCGGACAACTGGTAGTCTAGACTGCGGACCCCTCAGAGTAACCACTTACCGAGAAAGTGTAATCCCAAATATAACATATGTTACATTTGACCACTTTCTAAAAGGGCATTGAGTATTTCATGCCTCTTTGTTGTTGCCTCGGATTCCTCATCATTGTGATGCTTACTAAACAGCTCACTTGTAGACTAAAACTGACGATTTCAGAAATTTTCACCTTTTTACATACACAGTTAATAACAGCATTGCGAACACTCAGGAACAAAACGCACTATTAATTAATTCCGTTTTATTCAACTGATTGTTTTCAAGAATTGCCTCCCTTTGATTAGAATTAAAATTAAAGCGGCTTCACTTCCAATGTTTGAGAAAGAAATGAAATAATAAACAATAACCGGAAACGATTTAGCTGTTCTTTAAAACGATTGTGAAGCATTAAAGAAAAAGAAACCGCAGTCTGTACCAAATATTTTCAAAGTCTTTTTCAAACTTTTCACCAACCTAATATGTAACAGTATACATCCAGTGCAACCTCTCCAGTCACATATCCATTGTCAAGAACACGAGTAAGTATATTTTGAGATGAAGGAGACAATAGCTTCAGATATAAGCCGGAACTTGACAAGACTTGGGTGCACATTCCTGTACGTACCGTGCCCCAAGAGAAGCTTGATATAACCATAACTTACTTTGTTATATCTCAAGTTAAACCTAAAGTTTTTAATAACCCAAAGTCTACGTGTGGCGAATGAGTGTAATATCAAAATGCTTATATCATGGGCACGATAAAAGCGGTGACTTAGCTTCTTAACCTGAACTAATTTGGTGGTATGAGCCTGTGATAAAGAGAGTTTGTCACCGGCCCTTGAATCATCTGCATCTCGATTTCACCTCTGAGCAACAATAGCAACGCTGCACAAAGTAAATAGCTAGGGAAAAGGTTGTCACGTGAGGGGCAGATAACTCCTGGCACTCTTACAGAAGCTGAGCTGCCGGGAGCACGTCACAGCCCGCGCCATCTCAGTGAGGTGTGTGTGGAGACAGAGCAACAGTGTGCGATAGCACGGGCAGAATTGGGCTGATATGGCTGATAACACCCAGATATGCAGATAACAGTATGGAGCACTATAGAGGCCACCTCGTAAAACATGTAGGATAAAATCTAATTGTAACGTCACTGAATATTATTAATAGTATGATTATATTTTTTTGGGATTGATTGTAGGTATGCTTTAGTTTGAACACCAGGTGTCAAGCATAATAATTCCACAGGGTTAGAAATGGTGTTAAGTAACCTGTGCTTGTCATAGGGGTGTCGGATGGTCAGGCAAGGCGACTTGAGTGAGTGAGTTTAGTTTAACACCGCACTCAGCAATATTCCACCTATATGGCGGCGGTCTGTAAACAATCGGGTCTGGACCAGACAATCCTGTGATCAACAGCATGAACATCGATCTACGCAATTGGGAACCGATGACATGTGCCAACCATCGGCGACTTGACGTATCATTGTTCCTCGACGGCATGGATCGTTGTTCATAACATCGATCACTGGCTTGTCTGGTCCGTTATATTTCCTCCATGAAACATTTAAGATCAATAACAATAAACTGATGTTTATTATTAGTTGTTCACTGATCTCGAGGGGGACATGGGCTGATATACCCTCGATGTTTGTTTATGCTCCCTGGGCCGGAAGGGCGAGGGGTACTAACGAAACATCGAGGGTACATCAACCCATTGGCCCCGAGGGACCAGTAAACAACGTATTTATCTTACCGAACACCTCAATGGTAATTGTGAACTGTTCGAAGCACGGTATCGGATCTTAGTATGGAGTACCAGACGAAAAGAAAAACAAATTTGGGTTATCTCCCTTCCATAGATTTGCATTCGCAAAACATCGGTAATTTCCGTACATTATACGTGATTCAACGTTATTCGAGATAAAGAATTACTACCACGAAGTACCAAATGAGTTCGGCATTCCCAGCGGGGTACATAGAAAATGTTACTCGCTTGTAAGCGGGGTACATTGAAAATAATAGAAGAGCGCTCAGCCAATCAGAAAACGACATTTATGTGTGAGGCAAGATAATAAATATTGTACACGTTTTAATATCAAACTCGTTTGCAGGGGCAAGCAAGGAGAGGCTGATCAAAACTAAACCCCTCGACTCCATAAAATTGTAACTCAAATGGTGTAACTAGTGAAAGGGACAAGATCCCAATAATACTGAGTAAGTGAGTGAGTATGGTTTTATGCCGCTTTTAGCAATATTCCAGCGATATCACGGCCGGGGACACCAGAAATGGGCTTCACATATTGTAACCATGTGGGGAATCGAACCCAGGTCATCAGCCTGACGAGGCCACGGGATTGAGATCGAGGGAGGCGTTAATGAAACAGTCGCGTCCTTGAGCAAGTCGATGTTATTTCAAAAGAATTATCGGAAACGATTTTGGCCCGATGGTGTTCCATATACTGGCCGACGACCTGGAAACATGCCATCACCCGTATACCATGGTGTCGCTGAGGATCTTGAATGAGGTTATTGTTCTAGTGAAACTGTTATGTCTCGGCTTGGGTAAGTATTTAACAACTCCGGCGACCAGTCCGCTCATCATTCAGTTACAGATATTCCTAAATAGGATTGAGGGTATTTCGGTCATGACTTGGTTATTTACAAAAGTGGAATATTGCTGAGAGCAGCGTTGGATCTCTTCTTGTGTGAAGATCCATACAGTGAGGTTATTACCTCCCGAAACGGAAACAATTTGTTCTGTAGGCCCTACGACTAGAACATTTCAGCTTGATAATGTTTACAGATCGCTGCAACTAGGCTGAATTGCGTCCCTTAGTCATGGCAGGATCAGCTTCTTGTATGAATAGCGTGGTCACCCTGATGATGACCCACGGTATGTCAGAACTGTATGGATGCCCGTGGGCGTCATGAATATATTCCTAGACCTCATCAACATTCAACGTTGTTTACGGCTGATGAGAGTGCATTTCAGGGGTCAAGGTCGACGTACAGGTGTATACAGGTGTAAACGTATGAAATTACTGTCTTCATCAGCCATCATCAGTGACGCGGCGACGGCGACTATTGGCACAAGTCCAACAACGCCTACTTGCAATCATGGCCTACTCCGTGCAGGGTCAAGCTGCTTCCGGTTCGGCAAACAGCGCATGCTCAATTGGAAGGAGGCCAGCGCCGAGTGTGCCGCTCTGTCGTCCACCCTGATCAGATTCCAGACGCCCGAGGATATTGTATGTAACACGTGTCTAAGTGAATGAGTGAGTGAGTGTGTGCGTGAGTGAGTGAGTGAGTGAGTGATTACAAGAACTGCATTTTCATATTATAGTAGAGACCATTTACTTCAGGTCCGAGGATATCAAATTACAGGTCACCTCAGAACGACCTTTTGTGAACCTTGACCAACCAATGAAATGACCCGAGGGAAGTCGGCATTAGTCATTAAGCAGCTTTCTCGAGCACCACGGAACTAGTTTCACACTGGTCACTTCAATTCCAGTGTATCTTAATCAATATTGTACCCAAAACCTCCATGCTGTACAACAGTATGTTCTCATGTCCAGTAGGTGGTCGAGATTGTATGGCAGGACTTCTCAAGCCGTACTTCCGGTTCAGATGTGTATCCCGAGAGGCGATGATTGACGAAATAAGTCGTACAGACTAACTGTCGCTCGGAATTCCTCGTGATAACCTTTCAGAGGTTGCATGATGAGAAAACACATTCGGATTTTGTCTTTGGCGTTTGACATTTTAATGCCCTGCAATAGGATGACCTCGAAACAAACTGAAGTCTCAGTTTTGATTGAAGTTAACGTTTTTTTTCTCAAATTTGACAAAACGCAGGAAAATACATTTCCCGGAATACACTGAAATTGATATTGAACTCAACATCGTAGACAATGTAAGTTTAGTAGATAGGTTACTTGAGTTGTATGGGTCTTTTATTTTGGAAATTCAGCTCTTTCAAATTGTCAAACTCAGTCTGAAATTGGAGTGAAAACTATTTAAGTTTGTTTCGACAAATCAGATCTGGGTGTATCTCGGTAGCAAGCACTAAGATTTGATTTTTACATTAGATATGGGTTCACCTAATGTAACCATGAATCTTATTTTGTGCCACAAGGCTTCCTTGAGTTATAAGAACTATGCTTCGTAGGGATTTCTATACAACGCTTTCAAATCAATGTGTGAGGTTTGCACGTTTCCACATAAACATTGTGGCCTTATACCATCGAATCTTCTCAGAGACATGAAACTAACAACGTTTAACATCTTGAGTGTGGTGTTTGTACTTTGTGCCACCAGGGGGCGTTCTCCGCCATTGCCAAGACCCTCGAGATGGACGGTTGGTGGACGGACCTAACCACACAGGACCACGTGGGGACGTGGACGTGGGGGGAAAACCAGGCAGTCGGCAACGGCACCGTGTCAGTAAAATGTCTTATCTACACAATGTGTATAATGCAGTAACATGACGTTAGTCCAGATCCGCAATTACCCGGCTTTCTAGGGCCCCATTTCACTAAGCTATCTTAACACTAACGTATAGTCTATACTGCTAATGTCGATGTGTGGACCCGGGCGATTAACACTGGGAAAGTCTGTATACGACTTACTCAGAAGAAGTAACAGAATTCTGACACTGTGGATTAACTCCTGTAATGTGAAATCATCGGGTGTTCTAAATATATTTTAAGAAGTAATCTTCGGATTTACGATTGATCAAGAGATTTGATAGTCTTTACGGATTTGCTTGAGAGGACATAGTCCAAATCAACGGTTGTCGCTGCGCGTTCGTTTGCTAGCAAATTACACCATGTTTTTTATCAGAGCGCAATTACGACAGACGCAGCGCTGATATCGTTTGTTTGAACGGGGCCCAGGTTTTCAAATAACAATATATTCCTTCAACAACTTAAAGAGCGTTATTATGAAAACATGCATGGGAAATGTCGAAGATAATAATGCCATTTACGAATGGTTATAAAGACCTCATTCCCTTTATCTTTAATATAAAAAGAGAGTACATTTTGTGGACGCTTCAACAAAACTATGATTTGCCAGGGTGTGGAACCAGGAACCCGACGACGTCAAACACGCCGAAAACTGCGTCGCCGTGAACTACCTCGGCAGAGCTAGCGACGACATGTGCACACGACAGCTTGGGTTTATATGCAGGGCTGATACAGGTTGGTGGTACCCAGCTCAGATTTCAGGAAATCTTTCAAAATTCAAAATGTTCATAGTAGACATGTTTGGGACATTTGCAGACTTAATGCAGCAGTAACAATAACGATGCCAGATGCGAATCTTTATTTTGACTTGTACCATGTATTTGTAACGGGTGACACTGGGAAAGGCTGAAAGTGGTTCATAGACACATGCTTACCATATATTCAACCATAGTCATTAAATAGACGAGATTTATTTTGATAATTGAAAAGATGCTATTTACTGGCTGCTCATTGCACAAAGTAGTTATGTATCTGAACCCGTGAAGGTCCGGGTTAGAATATTGATGTTCAGCAACCCATGCTTGTCGTAAGAGGCGACTAACGGGATCGGGTGGTCAGGATCGCTGACTTGATTGACACATTTCATCTTATGGCAATTGCGCAGATCGAAGCTCATGCTGCTGATCACTGAATTGTCTGGTCCAGACTCGATTACTGCTACGATGCACTCAGCAATATTCCAGCTATGTGGCGGCGGTCTGTAAATAATCGAGTCTGGACCAGATAATCCAGTGATCAACAGCATGAGCATAGATCTACGCAATTGCCAGAAGATGGCATGTGTCAACCAAGTCAGCGAGCCTGACCACCTGATCCCGTTAGTCGCCTCTTACGACACGAATGGGTTGCTGAGGATCAATTCTAACCCGGATCTTCACGGGTGGATCACGGCAGGGTACAAGTGACTCCAACTTTGATAAAGGGCTCACACAGCTCACCCATGTAGTAACCAGGATCGGCTAGGCTGAGTAAACGCGTAGATTCTGTGCTGTCATGGTAATTTTCTGTCGGACAGTTGCTGACGGATGTGATGACGGATGGTCACTGGTGGGGAACTCGTGCTTCTACGTCAGTGATACGTCAGACTACACCCAGCTGGTCACCTGGGAAACGGCCTTGACCAAATGCTATCAGAAAGGGTCAGCAACTTTGAGCCGCCCAATGCTTGCCAGCTTCACGGACAACCAGGAATACGTGAGTAACACCTGCATCGAAAGCCGATGGACTTATGTCGTATGCCCCACTGAGGCCTCGTCAAAGCCCCTTCCAGTCACGGTTAATTTCTTTATGTGATTTAATTGATTGTACATAATAAATGAAACCAAAGGAAAGTTTGACAACACTAATCGGTCATCACTAGGAGTGTTGGTCAGTGGTCATACACCTATCTTAAATCTACCGTTATGTTGCAGTCGACTGTGGTGAAGCTGCTGACGACAGCGTACTCCCTGAAGTATCGGTGGTGGATTGGCCTCAATGACAGGGCTGTGGAGGGACAGTGGATGTGGTCCAACAGCAGCACCCATGCAGATGCATCCATTATGTAACATATTCATTTACTGCCGATCACAGGGGCTTGTAACGCTAAAAACTGCCATCAAGGTATATACTGACTGACTGACTGAGTTTGGTTTTACGCCGCTTTTAGCAATATTCCAGCAACATCACGGCGGGGGACACCAGAAATGGGCTTCACACATTGTACCCATGTGGGGATTCGAACCCGGGTCTCTGGCGTGACGAGCCAACGCTTTAACCACTAGGCTACCCCACCGCCCAGGTATATACTGTCACTGACGGGGTCTTAGTACTAAAAAAAAGGAAAGGGATGTAACGAGGTCAATACACCAAGTTCGTTTCAGGGCGAATTCAACAATGCTCACTGTATTTATCCCATTTAAAGTATGCATATGTGTATACTTTAAATGGGATAAATACAGTGAGCATTGTTGAATTCGCCCTGAAACGAAATGGTGTGTTGACCTCGTTACATCCTTTCTTTATATATACTCATGCCAATAATGGTTGTCACCCCTCCCCACCCCAACCCCACGCACACCTCACCCCACCCACACCCCTCTCCAATTAAAAAGATTGAAGGGGGTGACAACCATTATTGGCATGAGTATAGTACCAAGACCCCGTCAGTGACAGTATACACCTTGATGGCAGTTTTTAGCGTTACAAGCCACTGTGCTGCCGATAACAAATTCTCTCACTTTAGTTATGAATTCCATGAAATATAGCATATGTTATATTAAGGATTACACTTCCTCAGAAAAGTACTTTTATTTGGTTGAGTCTAATTCGGGATTCGAACCTACACTCTCATAGTCGGGCACCTAATCGCCAGCACATTAAGTCAGCCATCTAACCCACTCAGCCACCGCAGCTTCCACCATGAAATATGATCACATAGTAGTCCTACGATGTATATGAGGATCAATATGTATCTAATCAGTTAACTGATTTACTGATCACACAGGTAGCATGTGCATAAAAATCAATCTGTAATATATGGTAAAGAATCAACTATTGTCTCATGAATATACTAAATCCGTTCAACATTGTATGATGCATGTTTAACAAGTTCCCAATATTATAAAACTCATTAAATAATCCGATATTGTTGATGCATGTACTGGATACATTGAATATTGTATGCATGGCAATTATCTCTAGTGCATGCCCAGTATATACTTAAGTAATTCTAACAAGTATCCTTATACCGTCTCACTATTTTTTAGTTATTCGAACACATGTAAAGAGCACACAACGAATCAAGAATATTTGCGAGCCCAAGAATAAGGGCGAACCCTCTTTTGCAGCCAGTGGCAAAACCTACCAAACTCCCTGCAGGCGACGGAGCAGTGTGGAGTGGTGCACAGTAACGGCCATATCTCCTACGACTACTGCGACAACGACAACTACTTCGCCTGCAGGTATCACAGCACGGAAGGTACACGACAAACAATCTTGGAAAGGTGTTCACGTCAGTAATGCACAGCTATTCCACACACGTTATGTAAAGGTTTGTAGGTGACCTGGGCAAGTCTAGGTGGATGTTGCTGTAAGGAAAACGACCACCGCACCTATGCCCGTCCCATGTTCCAACCCAATGTTGGTAGGCTGTCTGAATGAGTAATCAGAGATAATTATATTTTTCCTTATCACTGTCAGTCATGTGTGTAAGAAAAACTAACAATATTTAAACTTTCTTCCGACTGTATTACTGCTAAAACAAGATGACAGGTTATATATTGTTTGAACATATATGTTGAGTTATTATGATGAATGCGTTGAGAAGTACATATTGTTGTGAAATGCCTGTCCTGTTTAGATAGATCAGTCATTGACGACCGCCGCCATATAGCTGGGATATTGCTGAGTGTGGCGTTAAACAACAAACCAACAAGCCTTTGACATTAACGTCATTACATGCAACCACAGAAGACTCGAATCACGCTGACGTGTGGGGCGTTTGAGCTGACACAATTACCTGTATAACTGAAGTAAATTAACAGTATCACCAGGCTCCAGGAGAGGAGGTCACTAATTCCTGTTCATAATCTTAGGTGCATATATATTTTCATTTCTCTATCAGCTATAGTGGAACCACACCAAGGAATCAGGGATTCAAACTCATGACATGCATACCCAACCATTTAACATTATTCTCTGTCAAGTTATGATTATTTATGTCAGTGGCGCATGCATGGATAGGCGCGACTGTGGCCAATGGATAAAGTGTTTGTTTGAAAATATTTTATTCAGTGTTGAAATGGATTGGGCACAAGTTATGTAACTTATTACCGCCCGCTCCTATCAGAGACATGAACAATAATGAATGGACGTAATGAACGGACATAATAACATTAAGACATATTATTGATTAATCGAAGCGCTTACTTCGTACAATGTATTTATGCACATGTCTAAATATATTTTCATTAATAGCATTTGGCAGAGCAGGGTTTCCGTAAAGAATGGTATCAATGTCTAATTGAACTTTTGATAGTTCAAATTCTTGCTTCAGATCAAAACGGCAACTGACAAATTTTAGACATTTTAAAAAGAAATGGTTAGCATCTTCCACCGGAGCACCACAATTGCAAGCTCTACTCCCTGATAGATTAACACGAAACAGATCTGCATGTAATGAACTACACGAATGTCTTAACTTCGTGTAGTATATTTGTCTTTCTTTCACCAAATAGAAAATATTTTGGAACCTTGTCATTTTTTTCAGGTAACTTTGATTTAAACGATGATAATGAATTTGTACATTTTGTTGTAGAGGGGAGAGCATTCCATAAACTTGCAGAATCATAAATAAATGACTTTTGGAAAATTTAGGTGCGAAATTTAGGAACAGCCAAATCTGATTTGTTACGCAAATTGTATCCGGAAATGGTTTCAGTAAAAGGTGGAAGTAAATCTATCAGGTAATCAGGAGCTTGCATATTAACAATTTTGTAGAATGTACAGAGTTTCCTTTGTGTTCGTCTAACTTTCAATGGTAACCAACCAGTTTCACTGTATAAACTATATCTTGAAGCGAATTTAAACAATCCGGTTACAATTCTTGCTGCTTCAAGTTGTAACATTTCAAGTTTATCACAAATATAGCTAGGGCAATTATCCCAGACCTCAGATGCATATTCTAAAATAGGCCTAATATACATTTCGTACATACTAGAAAGGATATATCTAGGTAATACGTACTTTAGCGTCCGTAATGAGGAAACAATTTTTGAGGCCTTTTCTATTACAGCAGATACATGATGAGACCATTTTGTATTATCTGAAAAGATGACACCGAGGTGTTTATGTTGATGTACACGTTCTAAATGTTCATTATTGAAAATCAAGTCAGGAACTTGTGGACAGTTTCCATTTTTAAAAAGCATGAATTTGGTCTTGTTCGGGTTAAACTTAACTAACCATTTGTCAGCCCATTCTTTCAATTTTGCTAAATCATAGTTAAGAGTAGCCTCTATGGTTTTTACATCTTTTCCTGCAACACCAATTGAAGTGTCGTCGGCAAACAGTCTTGTGACATTTGTTAGAGTTTCAGGTAAATCATTGATGTACACAAGGAACAAAAATGGACCAAGGACAGATCCTTGAGGAACCCCTGCAGTAGCATTCAATTCTTTTGATAATGTACCATTGATGGAAACACTCTGTCGTCTATCTGATAAATAGTTTGTTAACCAACTAAGTAAATGGCCACGAATACCATAATTTTCTAATTTGTGCAATAGCCCTTTATGCCACACCCCGTCAAAGGCCTTTGAAATGTCACAAAAAATCATACAATAAAGGTGATGAGTATCTAGAGCTGAACATATATTGTGATAGATTTCAATGAGTTGAGATGTGGTAGAGTGGTTTGTAGTAAAACCTGATTGAAATTTACTTAAAATGCTATGTTTATTGAAATGGTTATGTAAATGCTTTAACATTATTTTTTCAAAAAATTTCCCGAGGATAGATAATAAACTTATGGGTCTGTAATTAGTAGGGAGGGATTTATCTCCTTTTTTGAAAATAGGGGTAATATTGCCTGTTTTCCAAACTGAAGGAAAAACACACTGACTCAAAGAAATATTATACAGTAAACACAGAGGTTCAGCTATTGATGTACAAATTCGTTTTAACATCCTCATGTTAATAATACAATCTAGCTTTGTTTGCTGGTAAAGTCTTAATCATATCCGATACTTAGTAACACTAACGCTTTTATACAGCGATGGCTAACAAGATTGGCAAAGTCTTGCCCTCATCATTCACAGATATGGCTGAAATATTGCCGATGTGACTTAAAATCTTAACTCACTCAACTCACCTCTATCGTATTTTCAATCTCAACTCCCTGGTCTTTAGGTATACAACTCGGGCAGCCACTACCAGGCGCATCATACTAATAATGTGGTTTTTCAAAGGCACTTTGAAATGACCGAGAGCACCTGATTTAGTCAGGAAGACACATATGTCAGGTAAAACTTAACTATTCTAATGGTGTCAAGAGATGAACCTGTTTTTTCCCAGGAAATAGTTCCATGATACACAGATGTCAGGTTTAATGAATACTCCCAGCTGACGTTCACGTGGAGGAGGAGCTGGGCTGTCCTGGACTGTGGCTGAGAGCGGGACACAAGTGTTATGTTTTCAACACCAACGTGACCTTGACCCAAAGTCAGGCAGTCGCTTTCTGCCGCCACAGAGGAGGGCGTCTATTGAAGGTCGAGACAGAGGATGAGATGGTGGGTTACCCTTCACATTTGTAGGTTCGTCTTGGAAGTAAGATCGCTTGGTGGTAGTGGTCTTAGATAATGCTCTTTGGTGGAAGTGTGTTCTTGTTAGGTAGTGGCATTCGTGCTATATCCACCTTTAGGTAGATGTAACCGTAGTGGAATATCTCTTTGGAGGTAGCGGTGAGACCCCTTGAAGGTTGGCAGGCAGTTATGTCAGATACGTGCCTCGTTCAATACTGAACGGCCGTGTTAAACTGCACATTCCTTGAAAATAGTGTTCACAAGAGAGTCAAGTACTTCCGATGGATGGATTTACCCTTCAAATTGATGGACACACTTAAGGAATTTTTAAAATAGTCCTACAGCGCCTAGCGCTTCCATTTAATGGAAAGCGTTTTGACGAGTAATTGTATGTAAATCTCGTCATCATTAGTTGAGGGAAGTGATTCTGTTGTGACGAAGTTACACAAGTGACCCAAATGTGGTTGGCACCCGTGTAATGGAGGTACCACCATTTGTTGCAGAGATGGATTCAGCTGCAGACAGAGCGTATCCTAGGCAACAACTTCTGGACAGGACTGGAACGGCACCCTCCGGGAGGCAGCAGTTGGCGGTGGTCTGATGGTGACTCGGCGCAGATGAATCTCATGTAAGGGGCAAACAGTAATGATCGAGAATAATTGTCGGTCTTTGCATCATCACCGAAAACGTTTTGACGTTGGCATTACACATCCAACGTCTCTGCTTCGCATCAGATTAATTAATTGTTGTTCATATTTTCAATAAGATGAACAAATTCTTAAGATTTCGAAAAGACATTGATAAAACGTAACTGTTGACATATACATGCATGGCAGACCTTGGGAACTTCAGCCGGACAACCTGATGGGTGAGGAGAACTGCGCCTTCATCAGCCACGACGCCAGCTATGAGGACGTCTCCTGCTTCTCCCAGGCCGGCTACATCTGTGAGATACAGGCAGAAGGTAGAGTGATATTCACCATCTGTGAGATACAGGCAGAAGGTAGCGTGATATTCACCATCTGTGAGATACAGGCAGAAGGTAGAGTGATATTCACCATCTGTGAGATACAGGCAGAAGGTAGCGTGATATTCACCATCTGTGAGATACAGGCAGAAGGTAGCGTGATATTCACCATCTGTGAGATGCAGGCAGAAGGTAGAGTGATATTCACCATCTGTGAGATACAGGCAGAAGGTAGCGTGATATTCACCATCTGTGAGATACAGGCAGATATTCACCAAGGATAGGCAGAAGGTAGCGTGATATTCACCATCTGTGAGATACAGGCAGGAGGAGGAGTGATATTCACCATCTGTGAGATGCAGGCAGAAGGTAGAGTGATATTCACAAGTGTGACATGCAGACAGAAGGTTGGGCAGATATTTACCATCTGTGGCATAGAAACAGAAGATAGAGATATATTCACCATCTGTAAGATACAGGCAGAAGGTTTTGAATCAGTGAGTTGTGTTTTGATCATCGCTTTGATTAAATCAGAGCTATGCTACAGGTGCGCCCTGCCCGTCCAAATGGGTTACCCGTAACTACGATGACGACACAACGTGTTACTACATCAGCAACAGAACTACTTCCGACGTTGTCACGTGGTGGGAGGCACGCGAGTTGTGCAGGAGACTGTCGGGGTTAGACGAGGCTTCATTGCTGGCTGTCAACGATCACCACGAACAGGCAATGAATTCATTGTTAAAATACAATTAATTAATGAATTAATTTATAGTTATTTGTATTTTACATCTTATTCATGTTACTGGCAAAACCGAAACCACGTGTGTGTGTTTCGCCAATGGATAAACGTCTTCGATCCGTAAGTTCCCCAAGTACTGATACTAACTAAAGTACTTGACGTCACACACACGTCACGCTAGACGCGTTCCTACGTCATCAACCAGTATTATAGAATTATTATTTCCCTCTCATCCGTCAGACATGTTTATAGACATTCGCCAAAGTGTTCAGAGTAAACCATGGAATGGCAACACGTGTTAGTACACTGAATCGGGCCAGATAAGTATTACTGCACTTTTTGAAGACAACGCAATTATGACGGTAGCAAGAAACACGTGGAAGCGCATCGAGAAAACAAAAGATATAAAAAAGCGATATTATTGGCAATGCTACACTAACAATTTCTCTAAATCCAAGTTGATACGCCCTCAAGTCGATGTGCGTGAGGGCTGTTGATATTCAGTAAAGTGAAACCCAAATATTTATTATTCACTTTTCCAACTATTTCCCCAGACCTATATTGAGACCCAGCTGGGGTCGTACCCAGAGTCCCCCGTCGGCTGGTGGACAGACCTCACAGACGCTGCTTCTGAAGGTGTGTGGCAGTACGCCGACAACTGGAACCCTTCCCTCAGCCGGGATCTATGTGAGTGCCATGTAAATGCCAGGCTTGTGTCAATAGGGTAAACTAAACGGGCAAACCCCTCTCCGTAGTCACCAAAGCCATGTCATTAGAGTCCAGTGTTTATCATGTCAGTTAATGATGATAGCAGGTGTTCGAGGAATGTTGAGCGTATCCTGCTCCATCGGTCAGACCCGTTATAAACACATGCAAAGACAAGTGAATTGTCCAGAATCGAAAAAGCACAATACGAGAACAAAAGGTACATGCGACGGGTGGACATGTTGCGAACTGAATCGGACAAGAAAGATATTCGATGTATTCATGTCTGGTAATGTTGATCTGTGCTAGTTCATATCGTTCGCCCAATTGCGTTGATCGAAGCACATGCTGTTGATCACTGGATTTTCTGGTCCAGACTCGATTATTTACAGACCGCCGCCATATAGCTGGAATATTGCTGAGTGCATCGTAGCACTAAACTCACTCATTCACTCACTCATATCAACCGTATGAAGTGAGTAAGTGAGTAAGTATGGTTTTACGCCGCTTTTAGCAATATTCCAGCAATATCTCGGCCGGGGACACCAGAAATGGGCTTCACACATTGTACCCATGTGGTCGACTGTATGAATCACAACGCTGTACCATATTTAACATTGACTACGTTTTACCTTGCCTTACACAGACACCCTAATCTTGTTGTAGCAATTGGGCCAAGGAGCCAAACAATCATGGGGGCAACGAGAACTGCGCTGTCATGTACTACGGCGGCCAATACAACGATGTCCCTTGTGACGTCAGAGCCAACGTAGCCTGTGAGAAAATGGCCTGGGGCGTGGGAGGTAAGGTGTGGCGGGGATCGGATCGGGTAGTGTGCATTGGTCCACACGCAAATTGTAGCGCAAATAGGGTTGCGCAACAAAGAGAAAATGACCAGTCTTTCCATATACGAGCGAAGCGAGCAAAGCTTGGCAACGTGCTTCCCTCACTTCGGTTCGCAAAATATTTTTAATATCAAAACAAAATATCGCCATCATCAAAGGTAGACATTTATTTCCTCACAGAGTTGTGTTCTCAGATTTCCAACCTCATATTTAATAATTACTCACGTACAATATATTTAATTCAACATTTTAAGCGCCACTCGTGGCATGTCAAATCGTTCTTCGCCTCCATTACCCCTGCCAGCTTCCGGTTCAACGGAGTGAAGGAACAGGGGACTTAAATTTAAATCTGCTTTCATTTACCCGTCACGCCACAAGTGTTTTTAGTAGAATAAATGTTACGTAAATTCTAACAATAAGGACGGCAGATGAGAAACATAATCCCCACCAGTTTAACGGTAAAATTATGCAATATGATATTTGTGTTTAATTTCTGCTTATTCTTGTTCCTTCTTTCCGTTGAACTAGAAGCTGGCAGGGGTAATGGAGGCGAAGAACGATTTGACATTTCCTGTCGAGTTTTCGTTTTCGACACATTCCCAAAATAAGCTAAGACCAATATTGTTGAAGTGGTTAAATTAATCCAAGTCTTTTATATATTGGGTGCAAACATCATCTTTTAACTCAAACGACTGAACAGTCAGTGTTCCTTGTTTCAGGTGCAGCAGACCCACAGACAAGCGACGCTCTCCTGGGGGTTGTAGCTACCATGGTGATATGGAGTCTTACATGACGTCAAAGATCACAGTAGTTAGGGTTTTCTCTGATAGAATACGTACATTTATTAATCTAAACGTATATCTGATATCAACCCCAATCCTTACCAACGACCACCAGTCGCGTCATACACATCCCACCCCCTACCAACAGGTCTTCATCAATTCTCCATCACACCTAACTCATACAAGCTTTGTTAATCAACCAAAGGATTTTACGGGTATTGATCATTTTCAAGTATTATGTCTTTCTTTGAGACATACGATAGTTCGACAGATACAAAATATGTTCTATTGTGCTTTTTAATGCCGCCAAAATCACATTGTGTTTTCTGGAATAATAAATGGTTGCAACATGAAATATGTTTATTTTTAATTACGAGTTGGTAGTTTACGTAAAACAAATGCATCCGTCGGTGTGAGTTTTGACCTCACATTCACATCAGCTTTTGTCATTGCATGGTTAAAGCACCGTTAATCCTCACTCACTGATTCACTGAGGACATTTCTGGAAGACAAAAACAGGAGTACTCAACGCCTTATGAGGAAATAGTCACCCATACTCTTGCTGTATGACAAGGCCACGTATTTCTGGGCACATAAGCATACCTAACAATGCACCACAAGGTGTCAGTATATTCAGGTGAAATGACCTCCAAATATATTGGACAAGACGATCCAGTGACTGACATAGTGAACATCGATCTATTCAATAGGGATAAGGGTCAGATTTCTGTTTATGTAACTGTCGGGTAAAATAATGTACGAATGTCTATACTTGTGGTAACACACACACGCACGCACGCACTTACACACACACACTATTATAATAGGTAGGGGATACTCAATAAACAAGGTGTCACAGTTATTGGTATTTTATATCTTTAATAAGATAAATAATTTAACACTGTAACAGGGACATCTGATCAGATGCGTCAGATGACCATAAAATGTGTCCACCACGTCATTTACCATGAGATATAACTTGATATCAGCCTCTATGCTCAGGACAACTGGGGAATACTAATCAACCCCCTCATGCCAACTTGGTTCATTCCTTCCCATTCTTCCTGAGGGTACCGTGAAGGTCCGGGTTAGAATATCGATCTTCAGTAACCCATGCTCGTAGTAAGAAGCGACTAACGGGATCGGGTGGTCAGGCTCGCTGACGTGGTTGATACATGTCATCGGTTCCCAATTGCGCAGATCAATGCTCATGCTGTTGATCACTGGATTGTCTGGTCCAGACTCGATCATTTACAGACCGCCGCCATATGGCTGGAATATTGCTGAGTGCGCGTAAAACTAAACTCACTCACTCACCCCTGAGGGCAGCGCCAAGCTCGTTGACAGTGGCCGGTGAGTTTTGTCGGACGCGCCGTCCAAGAATATCTCAGACGTTATCATGGTCTGCCAGTCTGCCAGACAGAATGATCCCAACCAACACTATTACCAAGCCTCCCTCCCAAAACTATCGTTCTGTATACGTGGCACTCTGTCAGGGAAATCCAGAGTAAACCTTCATTCATTCGAAAACAACGTCTGCCCAACGACGATTGGCCGTGTTTGTCACTGATGACGTCTTGTAGTAACGTAACGGCCCGTCAGTCGTGGGATAATACGTGGATGTCGGGAGGATCCATCTGTGTAGCCGTCTGTCTACTCACTCCAACACCTGGAGCTCTGAGAAGCCCATCTCCAGTTTGAGAGGCACTTCGACCACGGTTTCGTTCTAATAAAACGGTCTTGTGCTCGTGCCACTTTGATCTGTCTTACTCCAACCCATCACGTAACACCGCATGTCGAAAAAACGTTTCATTGCGTTTAATACAATATCAGATCAACTTTCAGTCTAATTGGTTTGATTGCGGTATACATTATGTCAGAGATATTTGTAATGAAAATGGATTTCTCAGTCTTGAAGATCTAAAACAAGAGGTACAAAATAAGAGGAACGTTCTTAGATTATCATCATTTGTTAAATAACATTCCAGTGAACTGGAGACAACTTGTAGGAAACAGAAGTCTCTGCTTAAATCAATTAAACATTAATAGAGTTTACCAAGATATGATCTCAAATGTTAAAGGTTCAAGGATATTCTATGATAAATTGATTAAGGACAACAATACCCCTAAGGTACTAGAGCATTTGAATACTGTCTTTCAGCAGGATAGAATGTGGAGTGATGTATTCAGATATTACAGGAAATGTACAAATGATTGTAAGCTGTTAGATTTTCAGTACAGATTTATTTACAGAATAATCTATACAAAGAAAGAACTATTGAGGATGAAGCTAGTTGATAATGACACTTGTACTTTTTGTAAAAATACCTCAGAAGACATATTGCATGTTTTTATTTTACTGTGATTTAGTTAAAATCTTTTGGCAAAATGTAGAACAATTTCTAAATACCCACCTCCAGTGTAATGTCACATCTACAAAATTCACTATCATGTTTGGAGTGTGCTCAAATAATAAAATACTAAATCATATTATACTTCTTGCCAAAAGATTCAAGCATACACAACAAGCACTTTCTCTTGAGGGATTGCTTAAGTTATTAAAAGATATATGTACAACTGAAAAATATATAGCTAGGAAAAACAATAGCTTAGATCCCTTTATAAGGAAGTGGACACATTTATCTACCTTATTATGTACTAAGCACTAAATCCTACTTATACTATCAGCTGATATTTCCAGACTCCACCCACTACAATCATACTATTCAACCTTATTCCTTCAATTTTATATGCCCACTACAGAAACTTTAATTATATCTTATGTATCTATATATTTGTTATAACCTCACAAAACACCAATGATGATGTTATATATATTGTCTTTTATGTCAAATGTATTTCATCTGAGAATTGAAATGGAATAAGATAAAAAAAACACCAAAATAAATAAACTTTCAGTGTAGTTTCTACCACTGAAATGTACAGCAACACACTGATGCGGCTCAATGTAATATCTAATTCCCGACCATGTTCACGTGCACATCATGCAAAATTATGCACGAAATTGTCGTGTTCGTTGGAAAACACGAGGAAGAACAATGTTCTGAATCCATATACGACCATACAACTTGGTTTCCAAACCACAAAATGGAATATCCCCGACCTGTTTTTGAAAGTTTATACTTTGTTGCCAGGTTAGTCTTGATTGGCCCAAACAAATACAGTGAAGCCCCGTTAGTCCGGACCCCGGTAATCCGGATGTCTCGCCTCCCGGACGATTTTAGCTTGTTACAAATCTACGCCTATTTATTTTGCCTCGATAATCCGGAAATTCGGTTTTATCCAGATTCGTGTCATTTTTGTAATAGTAAGGGAAGCAACTCTTGCTTGAACTTGGGTCTTGATTCAGTAGTCGGGACGATTCACAATCCGGACGAATTTGCTGAGAAACGCAACCGTCCAGATTAACGAGGCTTCACTGTTGGGTTTGAAATAAGCTGTTTGCAAATCTGGATTCTTACAAACCTAGGTTTTTGAAAGTCAATGCAGTCAGCGAGTAGTTTAACCAGTGGTTCTAAGGGATATGACACACTGCAGGCAAATACAGGATACGTATGTCAGTATTCAGTCCTAGGATCCCATGGATCCGATTGGGGCGGTTCGGCGGGAGCAACATAATGTGAAACGTACACATCTGTAACCGGACCATACATACATGATTGACGAGGATTCTACACAGATACAGATACCATTTACAAACAAAACATGCCTTGCATTTTCTGAATACCTCGTGAAACACTGCCGTTAAAAATCTGATTAAACCCGACATGGCCCTACAATGTCATGCACAGACATAGCCCATTATAAGCCTTTCTATGGTATTCACATTGTTCATTCAAAACCCTACTGCTCAAACAGAAGATTCCCAACTAAATGTTTCAAACTGAAGTTACTCTCCACCTAACAAGTATACCCTGTCCACGTGTTTATGGTAACCGTCTAAGAGCAACGTGTGTATTATTCCTGGGTTGTTGCCAGTCAACGGGGAGTTTGGGACAAGGCACTGTTATGTCATCAGTGACGTCACGGGGAGTTTGGGACATGGCACTGTTATGTCATCAGTGACGTCACAGACCCCAGATCGTATCTTGGATGGGAGCTCAAACGAACTGCAGGAACATCACAGGGCCTAAATACCCGAGTGCAAACGAACCCAATCTAACTAAATATCGACAACAGCGACTCCATATGCTAATTTTATCCTGATTTACCACCAACATAGGTTAGACGTCAGAACGTCTACTGAATACCGTGAGAAACATTCTAAACAAATATGTTTGTAAACATATAGCCACTTGTCATGTCAACACCCCTTACTGGCAACTTTCCATCTGTTAAAAAGGCATACATTGAATCGTGCATACAATAATTTCTACGCTGAATTACTGAGCAACTTAAAAGTAAGAAATGTCTTTCTTTCCTTTTTCTTAACCTCATCTCACTCATCATAAACATTATTTGATATCATGTTTTCATCATGATATCACCGTGTTATCATCATCGTCATAACTCTATATGACAATATTAAATATTAGTAGTGTCTCTGAATGCATATTCCCCACGGATAGAAGTAGGGAACATGTAAATTCCATTACACTTCCGATCCCTACTTCTGATGGAAGGGTCAAGGACACGGGCTCTACACAGAGGGACTACGGTATTGCACATGTCAGCAGGGGATGATGGTATGGATGACCTTGAACGAGGAGTCTCCAGTGCTATCTTACCAAAGGTCATCAGGTCATTCAGGAAACTAGTATTTGTCTTCTCCGTTATCTCGTGGCCGCATTGTGTGAAATATTGCCATTCCATCAGTAATGTAATCAATAATGCCGAATTCCATTGTTGGTTTGATTGTAACTGGATATTGTTCTATGGATGTACTGATGGCCTTGTCATTAATATGAAGTTAAACTTAAACTCCTTGTTATATGCATAATACATAACAGTTACAAGCAGCGTTAAAGCCCAGCTCATTTTGAGAGCACATTGATAGGAGAGATCATAACAAATGATTGTCCTTCCTGAAGATTGAAACAGCTGGAGGAACATTCTAAAACCCAATGGCAGACCAACCCCCACAACTAAAGAAGACCCTTCACGCACAGTTTACCATATAAAATGTGACGTGCATTGTCGAAACCTCATGACCCCTTCCTGTAAGAATCAAAGAACATCAATCCTCTGTGAAGAAGAAAGACTCCAAGTCTGCCATCCCTGACCACAGCCAAGCTCCCCCAGACCACAACATCCTTTGGAACAGCATGAATGTACTCAACAGTAATCACACCCACTACAAGATCAGGAAACTGAAAAGCCATCCACATCAAGAGACTCCAACCGGCCATGAACAGAGACCAAGGATATTACATCTCGACTGCCTACCACAAAGTCGTCACAAAGCAATCTTAATCCTATTATATCCCGTCTATCTTATCACTGGCTTCCTCCCCAAAATCCCCCATATCTTATTCTGTTTGTGTAACAATATCCTTGTTGTGTAAACATCCTCCAACCTTGTACATCAGCCTCATTAATTGTGCAAACATCAATCAACTTACTGTTCAAATGCTATATTTACTATATATATATATATTGCCTCAAATATTGTACGTCACTTCTTTACTTGATAACGGTGTTAGTAGCTACAACGAAACGTAGCTCGATAATACGTCCAAAATGAAAGAAGTATATCCATAGAACTCTCCTCCTTGTTTCATCACGCCAACTTCTAATGCCATTCCAGTTGAAGTTACGGGCGCATAGGTAGTCAGAGACAATGGGCAGAAATACGTCACAGAGACAATATCAAACAACAGTGGCAGGTTACACGTCACAGACAGTATCCCGTCACATGGGCAGATAATACGTCACAGAGACAATATCAAACAACAGTGGCAGGTTACACGTCACAGAGACAATATCACGTCACATGGGCAGATAATACGTCACAGAGACAATATCAAACAACAGTGGCAGGTTACACGTCACAGAGACAATATCACGTCACATGGGCAGATAATACGTCACAGAGACAATATCAAACAACAGTGGCAGGTTACACGTCACAGAGACAATATCACGTCACATGGGCAGATAATACGTCACGGAGACAATATCAAACAACAGTGGCAGACAACCACACAGAATGTCTTATGTCCTTAAGTATGTTATGAGCATCAATATTATTATCCGCACACTCAGGCGTTTTCTAACCAGACCTATACTGTTCAGGTGTGGCGGTATATTCCCGCACCAAGATGTATTATAACTAGACATAATGGTATTCTGATACCAGTGTATATTAAAAAGGAAGCTACATTATAAACAGGTAACTGAAGACACCAGAACACAATGATGTTCTTTAAACAGTAATTGCCACTAATTAATATCCTGCCGTAAAATATCCTGCCGTAAAAGTACACGTCGATATACACTGCCCGAATAGACAATCTCAATGCACAGATAACAGGGCAGTATATGGGTCAGCTGTGATATTCTGCGATATACACTGATATACACTGATATACAAGACATTCATGTTCGCTATCACGGAGATAACATTTTCAATCGCAGACCAAAGTCTGATAAGCTACTGACAACACAGATTGTCACACCCCTCCTTGGATACTGTGATCGTCAATAATAAACAATGAAGGCATTACTTTCAGCAGTATTTCTACTAATTGGTAAGTATGACCCATTTTCTTCTTACTTCATGTATGCGAGACCTGTAGCTCACCTTACCCAGAAATCTGTGCACGGAGCTGCCACCTAATCGCTGTAGTCGTGATGCAGCGCCGATCGGCATATGAGTTTCTATAGTTGTTCTGATCTGAATATTAAACAGAATGGCAAGTTGTTTAAATTGTGCCAGGATGGATACTGTTAGGGTAAAGCCAGGTTCCACTGTCTGAAGACGATCACAGCACAATGCTTGATGTAAGAACCCTGTTTGTCAGATTAAAGACTACATGGTCGTTGTTCCTAAATTCTAGATATCGTATAATTCCCTTTAAAATATGGCATCAAAATATTGCCTTACATTTCCTATAATGTACAACAATATTTAACAGATGTGATACACATGCTTGAGATTCAGAGCATGTTGTCTGTGATGTGCGTTGGTGCCCAGATATAGCAATTGTCTCTCCGAATACCGTTCCTAGTCAATAACTTACATTTACTAGGAGATTTTTTGTGGCTAAGGAAACAGTTTATTTACTTCTATGTAAAAAATCAGTTAAACACAAAACGAACGAACACTTTCTTTCCGCTGAGTTTAGTTTACGAGTAGTCCCCCTTGTTATAGGAGTTTCCTTATTGCGTGTATGTACTGACTGCTTCCTTCTTTGAGTGGCATTTAGAAGTTGGTAAGTACATTATAGAACAAACGTTACGGATAACAACTGTACAAGCATCTGTATTGAAACGTCGCACTCACGAAATATAAGAAGTTGTTATACATATAGTTTGTTTTATATTGACTGATTCCTGTTGAAGCTGTTATAAGCACTGACCATTGCCATGACCCGTCACTGATCGTCGTTACTTTGTCAATGGCGATATCTTGCTGTCGGATATTTCACTTAATAGCATAATAACTATTTTATACATCAATTCAATGTAGTGACAATTTGTTTTGAATCCCATCACTTGTTGAAATTTAACTCACTCACTTTGAAATACAATGTCTATAATTCCAGGGCATGTCTGGGGTGACACAAGCCCCCCCTGCCCCACGGGATCGGGGTGGGTGACAGGGACCAACTACTGCTACTTCTTTAACAACAAGGACAGAGTGACGTGGGCCGACGCTCAAGATGAATGCAGTACAAGGCTGGCCAAGTTGCTGAGACTGGAGAGTATGGATGAGTGGGTGAGTCAGTCAGTGGCGCGCCTGCAAGCTTCCCGGTAGGGAGCGTTCAAGTCTGGACTGGGTAAACCAGGAAAGGGGCCTCATGGCAGACATAGCTGACCAAATATTCCTTTGACATTCCCAGTGTGTAATGAGTATGGAGTTGATTTTGATCACTCGATTCCTTTATAAATTAAATGTATCCAGTGCGGATATTGGCTTGAATAGGGCAGAATAGGGTAGAATAGGATAGAACACGTCCCCAGACGTTGGAGAGGGACAGATAGCTGATTGGCTATGAATAAAATATGCCCCATCAGATCGCTGACTCTTTTCAGTGCGGGGCAACTCGTGGTCAGCGTTCTAAAATGACGTCGGTCCTTAGGCCCAAAGCCGATTGAAAACCACTCGGACCCACAGCTTTTGTTTTCTGCAGGTCCTTATGACCGACAGCCTTCTCATCCCCAATAACTAACAGTGTTATTTCCATATTAAGATATAGGACCTACACATTCCGATCAGGACCCACAACTTGTTATGGTTCTGGGTTCATAGGGCCTGCAGCTTTTCAGGGTTAAGGGCAAACACTGCTCGAGGTCAAGGTCGTCAATGGCGAACGGGCACGACAGAGGTCTGTTTCCGATAAACAAATGTATGTAAACTCATTGTGATAGTTAGGTCTAAGTGAAAGAATGACAGCGTGCGTGTCGTCAGTGTACACGTTGCAATCAACAAGAATAATGCATGTCTCATTTTGTAGGAAGATCTATTGGCTTGAAATGCGTCTATAGTTATACGGGTATACACAGTGAACATTGTTGAATTCGTCCTGAAACAAATTAGGTGTGATGACCTCATATAGTTTTATATAGTGCTTGGGCAATATCTGTTTAAGTTACAAGCCCCTGTGCTCCAATTCTCAATTATATCATTTGGCTAAACTTACATGCTGAAACTTCACAATGTGAAATATTGCCGACTGTAGCTTTAGATACCATTTGTACATTCTCTAACGTCAATAGGTCAGTTTCTGGCCCCACTGTCTGTGAAATCAAGGGGAGCTTAGTACATCTGAAAGCATAACAATTACACAGTCTCATATTTGTTCTAGATACTATTTAGACCCTTCGGAATTAAGTAAGAGATAATATTTGTTCATATTTATGTTACACCTTGAAATAATTCAGAATAGATTTGATATTCTATATGGTAAAAACGAAAGCAAAGTAAGTGAACAAGCAATTGATTTGCATGTGAGTTTGGGTTCTGAACAAAATGTAGTTCTAGCCAACAAAGTATAAATTTACTGAGCAACATAAAACTATCATTTTGTTTGCATATGCTTGACTTGGCTTTATCATATTTCTAATTATTTCTGGGGCGGTGGGGTAGCCTAGTGGTTAAAGCGTTGGCTCGTCACGCCGAAGACCCGGGTTCGATTCCCCACATGGGCACAATGTGTTAAGCCCATTTCTGGTGTCCCCCCGCCGTGATATTGCTGGAATATTGCTAAAAGCGGCGTCAAACTAAACTCAGTCAGTCAGTCTAATTATTTCATTATGTCAAGTATCTATGAATACGAAATAGCCGAGTGTTATAACTATGCATATGTTTATTGATTTATAGACAATAATACAAAACTGCCCCTTATCTTTGAGTTAGACATTTGTGAAGAACAACATGGCCCTTGACCAAAGTGGCAACGGTTTCTGGACGGCTTTAAATGACCGTGACCCGTCCGGCACAGGCGCTGGAACTGGAATCTGGCTTTGGGGCACTGATGAATATACAATTGATTCCGTTGTGTACGTACCACAGGTTATTTACCATATAATAACAACCACAATCTCATTTACCATGTAATAACATCCATAATCTCATTTACCATGTAGTAACAACTATAATACCATTTACCATATAATAAGCACCATTATGGCATTTACCAAGCAATAACAACCATATTCTCATTTACCATGTAATAACAACTATATTCACATTTACCATGCAGTAACAACTATAATACCATTTACAAGGTAATAACAACCATAATCTAACTTACCATGTAATAACAACCATAATCACATTTACCATGTAATAACATCTATAATCTCATTTACCACGTAGTAACAACTATAATACATACCATTTACCATATAATAAGCACCATAATGGCATTTACCATGTAATAACAGCCATAATCACATTTACCATGTAATAACATCCATAACCACAATTACCATGCGGTAACAACTATAATCACATTTTCCATGTAATAACAACCATACTCACATATATTACCATGGCTGTAATAACACATATAATCGGACTTTTGTTGTTTTCAATGTGACAACAATGGTGATAATGTCACTAACAACAGAGTGTAATGTTGTGTACGTAGATTCAAATAACCCTGGTGGCTTGGTGAAAACACGAGGATAACAGAACCCTTCAATTACAGTACCCCGTTTGTCCGGAAACCTGCCTTCTGAACCAATGTGCTAGGGATGCCTATATACACTCAGGTACATTACATCAGATCCTTAAAAAGTTAATCCGGACATGTATTAACAGTATGGCCCGGATTAACAGGTTTAATTTTTTTTCTAGAAAGTCCCATTGGGATAAGGAACCAGATAACAATGATGACGAAGACTGCATCGCCATGAACAGCGTCGCCACGCTCAGCGACGAACACTGTTCCAGCAAGATGGGCTATATTTGTGAAATTAATATGACGGGTTAGTGCCAGAACACCTTAAGTAAATAATTCTGTCAAATTTATTTAAAAGTATTAATGCGCTCACATACTGATATGTTATTCATACTAAAACGCGAGTAGCAATCAGGGGCTATGATTAGGTGGTTATGCCTGATTAGGTGGTTATGCATTAGAGTTCAAACAACTTATGAATTATCTCTCCTTTCAGTTTAGACCAGGTTATGTTATGTTAATTTACACTGTTCAGTCCGGCTCAACTGCTCTAGCCACGCTTGATATTTATCATGCCTTAAACCATTAACTGGCAGCCTGCGTGGTGTCGGGCAAGAGTTCCCTTACCGGTTAAAACAACTGATATGCTGAAGGAATGTTCTGGCTCTTTGGTCTTACAGCTGATAAGGACCTCTCTCCGGGTCAGATGGTCTTAATTACTATTATTCTGTTGTTGCCATATATAAGCGTGCCATTCCCAGCTGTTTACAGGGCTTGTTTCACACTAGCCAGGGTTAGTTATTTTAACCCTTAGGGAGGAGCTATTTTCCAAAGTATGTATTTGTACTCGGAAGATTTACAGTACGAAAATCCCACTGAAACATCAGAGGTAATTCATATAGGTAAATAGTAAGTACTTGTTGAATAACTCTTAAATATACCCCACATTATGCTGTCAGTATAAAAGTTATTTGCCAGCACTAATCAAAATTGAAACTAAATTGCTTTAATTATTGAGTGTTATTATTAATAACATATCAAATTCAGTGTGTGATATTAACCTGTCCCTTAGTTTAGTACTCTTGTTTTAGGTCTATGCAAGATTACTGAATTATGGTCCGACGCAGATAAAGAGGAATTATTACAATCTGACTTGGCCACATCTACAAGTTGATCACTTGCCACTAATATATCAGTCAATTCTGATTATATTCAAGATGAACCAAACCCATGTGGGGTGTGACTGGATACCCCAGCACAATCTGATACACTATCGGATATGCCAATACAGTATGACGCAAATGATGAAGAGGATGAGTCAGTGGATATACCAGCACCGGGTCATACCACTGAGGATAATCAAGCCCAGTTTGTATCAATGCAGCGTGGTGTGCCTCTTGATTTACAAAGAAAGATGGATACAACACCCAGGTACCACAACAGGTTACAACACCAGTACAGAGTGATGATGCTACAGACATGCCAGCATTGAATGATGCGCCTACAGACATGCCAGTACAGAGTGATGATCCTACAGATACAATATTACACAGTGATGCACCTATAGACACCCCCGAACAGACTGATGATGCTACCGACATACCAGTACAGAGTGATGCGCTTACTGACATACCAGTACAGAGTGATGCGCCTACCAACATACCAGTACAGAGTGATGCGCTTACTGACATACCAGTACAGAGTGATGCGCCTACCGACATACCAGTACAAAGTGATGATGCTACAGACATACCAGCATTGAATGATGCGCCTACCGGCATACCAGTACAGAGTGATGATGCTACAGACATACCAGTACAGAGTGATGATGCTACCTACATACCAGTACAAAGTGATGATGCTACAGACATACCAGTACAAAGTGATGATGCTACAGACATACCAGTACAGAGAGATGCGCCTACCGACATACTAGTACAGAGTGATGATGGTACAGACATACCAGTACAGAGAGATGCGCTTACCGACATACCAGTACAAAGTGATGATGCTACAGACATACCAGCACTGAATGATGCGCCTACCGGCATACCAGTACAGAGTGATGCGCCTACCGACATACCAGTACAGAGTGATGATGCTACCGACATACCAGTACAGAGTGATGATCTTACAGACATACCAGTAGATGCGCCTACCGACATACCAGTACAGAGTGATGCGCCTACAGACATACCAGCACTGAATGATGATGCTACCGACATACCAGTAGAGAGTGATGATGCTACCGACATACCAGTACAGAGTGATGTGCCTACCGACATACCAGTACAGAGTGATGATGCTACAGACATACCAGTACAGAGTGATGATGCTACCGACATACCAGTACAGAGTGATGATCTTACAGACATACCAGTACAGAGTGATGCGCCTACAGACATACCAGTACAGAGTGATGCGCCTACCGACATGCCAGCACTGAATGATGCGCCTACAGACATGCCAGCACTGAATGATGCGCCTACAGACATACCAGCACTGAATGATGCGCCTACCGACATACCAGTACACTGAATGATGCGCCTACAGACATACCAGTACAGAGTGATGATGCTACCGACATACCAGTACAGAGTGATGATCTTACAGACATACCAGTAGATGCGCCTACCGACATACCAGCACTGGTAATGATGCGCCTACAGACATGCCAGCACTGAATGATGCGCCTACCGACATGCCAGCACTGAATGATGCTACAGACATACCAGTACAGAGTGATGCGCCTACAGACATACCAGTACAGAGTGATGGGGCTACCGACATACCAGTACAGTGTGATGCGCCTACCGACATACCAGTACAAAGTGATGATGCTACAGACATACCAGCATTGAATGATGCGCCTCCCGGCATACCAGTACAGAGTGATGATGCTACAGACATACCAGTACAGAGTGATGATGCTACCTACATACCTGTACAAAGTGATGATGCTACAGACATACCAGTACAAAGTGATGATGCTACAGACATACCAGTACAGAGAGATGCGCCTACCGACATACTAGTACAGAGTGATGATGGTACAGACATACCAGTACAGAGTGATGCGCCTACCGACATACCAGTACAAAGTGATGATGCTACAGACATACCAGCACTGAATGATGCGCCTACCGGCATACCAGTACAGAGTGATGCGCCTACCGACATACCAGTACAGAGTGATGATGCTACCGACATACCAGTACAGAGTGATGATCTTACAGACATACCAGTAGATGCGCCTACCGACATACCAGTACAGAGTGATGCGCCTACAGACATACCAGCACTGAATGATGATGCTACCGACATACCAGTAGAGAGTGATGATGCTACCGACATACCAGTACAGAGTGATGTGCCTACCGACATACCAGTACAGAGTGATGATGCTACAGACATACCAGTACAGAGTGATGATGCTACCGACATACCAGTACAGAGTGATGATCTTACAGACATACCAGTACAGAGTGATGCGCCTACAGACATACCAGTACAGAGTGATGCGCCTACCGACATGCCAGCACTGAATGATGCGCCTACAGACATGCCAGCACTGAATGATGCGCCTACAGACATACCAGCACTGAATGATGCGCCTACCGACATGCCACCACTGAATGATGCGCCTACAGACATACCAGTACAGAGTGATGATGCTACCGACATACCAGTACAGAGTGATGATCTTACAGACAGACCAGTAGATGCGCCAGTAGATGCGCCTGATGCGCCTACAGACATACCAGTACAGAGTGATGCTATAGACATACCAGACATGATGCGCCTACAGACATACCAGTACAGAGTGATGCGCCTACAGACATACCAGTACAGAGTGATGGGGCTACCGACATACCAGTACAGTGTGATGCGCCTACCGACATACCAGTACAGAGTGCTGATCTTACAGACATACCAGTACAGTGTGACGCGCCTATAGACACAATAGTACAGAGTAATGCACCTATACACATACCGGCACTGAGTGATGTGCCCATGGACGTACCCGAACAGACTGATGCGCCTATAGGCTTACTCGAACAAACTGATGCGCCTGCAGACATACCAGAACAGTCTGATGAGCCTATAGACATACCAGAACAGTCTGATGAGCCTATAGACATACCAGAAAAGATTGATGCGCCTACAGACATACTAGTACAGACTGATGCGCCTATAGACATACCAGTCAGACTTATTAGTACAGTGTTGGGCGCGGAGGAACTTCGTCCCTGAGGGATAGTGACAGTGACTTTGACAGTTCATAAAATGAAGTATTGTCAACACTAAGGAGTAGTAAAGGACTGGTCCCTGACAACGACCCAGCATCATCGTCAGGTGAAGAATATGATCCAGATACAACCACACTCGACTCATCAGACTCAGAGTTTTACTCCAGTTCAGAATCTTGAAATGAACTTTTGTTCAAAAAGCGAAAATTGAAGACAAAGAAACCACATGACAAAGCAAGCCTAGATACTTCCAAGACCCCAACTTTGTCAGCTGCATTAAAAAGTCGACAGGTCCCAAGCTATTCAGCTCAAATGCGCCAGATTCATGAAAGAAGATTGTTACAGCTTGCTCAGTTTAACGGACACATTATATAACAGGTGCCTCGTGATGGTGACTGCTTCTTTACTGCGTCAGCGCTCCATCTATCCGGAAGTATGACAGCCACTCAACTGAGAAAACAACTTTGTGATCATTTAGAAGAGAGGATGAATGAGTACATTGTCTTTTTTCCTATCAAGGAGGACAGTAATCTAGAAACATGGCAGGATTATTTGCTGGAAGTAGAAAAGCTGCGTGAGGCTGGCTACCTCTCCAACGGAGTTGCAGACTTCCTCCCTCTGTCAGTGGCAAACTGGTCGGGCCAATGTGTTCGAATATTTTGCAGAATCTATCCCTCTCATATACATTACGCCAACTGCCCAAGGAATTGAGAATAAAACACGAATTTTCTTGGCATATACATCGATTTCAGGACTTCGGCAATGCCACCCACGTCATCAACACACATTTGCCACGACAGTACTGCATTGACGTCTGCTTCAGCAACACCTCAGGGCAATTCATTCATTCGCCAATTCTGACGACTCCAATACAATTTCCGTTACATTAAATTCTGGTAACGATGTTTTTGCTACATCATAATGTACTCCCACAAACGATGCTGATAATCCAACACCCACTCTTAACATCCCCAAACCACCAGCACCAAGAAAGTCAGCAGCTTTAACACACCTCCAAAGGAGACATTATTCAGGAAACGTCGTGCAACTCCTGAAACCTGGATTAAAAATAAAAGGAAGCACTTAAGACTCTCTGGACAAGAATATGTGAATCAGGAAGAGAAAACTATGAGGGCTACGTCTGTACAAGAGTCGACTGTTCTAAATCGAGGTACAAATGTTCTGTAAACATCTTTCTTAAAACCTGTTGGAACTTTTCCTCATACACAAGACAGAAAGACTTCGTTTGCTCAAACACAACAGAAAAGAAGACTCGCACATACCTGGATGAAGAAGAAAATGATGTACAGAAAAAACCCGAAGTTCACCGAACGTTGAACGTACACTTTTCAACTTGATGGAGAACGACACAATGGCTGTAAAACATTTACAGAAAAACTTTGGATGTTGGTGAATCCTATATCAATCATGCTCTACTAAATAAGAACCAATGGATATTTGCTTGGACTGAAAAGAGGGGACACCACGAGCCACATAAAAAGACTGCCACAAGTACACTAAAACTGGTTCGAGAGCACATAGAATCATTCCCAACAGTTGATGCTCACTACACCTGGCGACATACGAACAGAAAGTGTTTGGGATCGACATTAAATGTAAAAAGAAATGTACGAACTGTACAAAGACAAGTGCATCAGTGATGCTACCAAAACAGTGTCATCACTTTACTGGAAGGTATTCACCGAGGGGTATAACTATACTTTTCACGTACCAAAGAAGGATCAGTGTTCGTTGTGCCAGAGGTACTACAGAGAAAAGAAGAGTGAGTCAGTTCAGCAAGAACTTGAACAGGAGTGCACCCAACACCAAGAGGGAAAATAAGAGCCCGGGAAGAAAAGATAAGGAGGAAACAGTGGTTGGCGGCTGTGATGATATTGGTGCTCTGGAGATCAGGTGTCATTGCTTTTATATGGCTTCCGCACTGATACAATTGTTGGGGCACAGATACTGCTCCCCGAGCATTACTGCGACACAGGGAAATCGTATCCGCAAACTGTGCCACAATCCTGTTTAAAGATAACCGGATTCTTGACTCTGGGACAGACATATTCTCAACATATTCTTAACTGCCATACACTGAGTTTCTAATTTAACTGGTTCTCGCTCTCATGTTTACAGAGCCCAGAATGCTTTACATTTACAACAGAACAAGCTAAAGTTTATTTTCGCCATATCTATTCAATTTGGCTGATTATATTTATGATTGTATAGCAACATGGATGCACCAACGTACTCTGTCACCTAGTCACGAAACAGTAAACAAGAATTGATTATTCTTATTTAACTGTCCAAACATTTGAGTGCTGTTTCCCGAAATTGGTTATAAGTGGCCTTTCAGAACACGAGGGCCAGTAAACATTCATATTTAATGGAGTTCGATATGAAGCAACAACATGGTTCTTGTGTGGCTACGCATTTAAAGCGTTCTGTGACCTTTGAACCTATTCACGTTTTCATAATGTTTCGGTCAAATACAAATGAGGTGTACTTTCTTTTGCGCGTCCCGGGCTAACCAGTGGGTTAAACAACAGTAAATGAGTCAGTATGTGAGTGGAGAGTATGTTTAATTGTGCAAATCAGGGAGTCACCATTCACTCAACAGGTGCACTCTTTGATCTGGTTTTAAGGTATTACCGGGTAATGAAGTGTACATTACATTAACATAGAAGTTGACAAATGTATATGATATTTGTTTTGTGGTTGCAGATACTTGCCCCTTTGGTTGGCTACAAGGAGGGGGGAATTGTTACTTGGTGAGCAACACCAGTGACATCGCCCAGTTCCTAACCTGGGACGCAGCAAACTCACTTTGCCAGAACACAGATACCGGGGGCAGGGGAACAGCACACTTGGTGACGCTGGACACGGTGAAGGAATCGGTGAGAGAGAGGGAGTGAGAGGGCAGATAAAGAGAGAGAGAGAGAGAGAGGGAGAGAGAAAAAACGGAGAGAGAAAAGTGGAGAGAGCGAGGGGAGAGAGAGAAAGAGATGGAGAGAGAGAGAGAAATGGGAGAGAGACAGAATGTGATCGAGAAGAGGGAGCGAGGAGTGAAGGAGCGAGAAATAGAGAGTGAGTTAGCGAGAGAATAAAAGAGGAGAGAGAAATGGGGAGAGATTCCGAGACAAAGAGTGAGAGAGAAAGAGGGACAGTGAGAGAGAGAGAGAGAGAGAGAGAGAGAGAGAGACAGAATGTGATCGAGAAGAGGGAGCGAGGAGTGAAGGAGCGAGAAATAGAGAGTGAGTAAGCGAGAGAATAAAAGAGGAGAGAGAAATGGGGAGAGATTCGGAGACAAAGAGTGAGAGAGAAAGAGGGACAGTGAGAGAGAGAGAGAGAGAGAGAGAGAGAGAGAGAGAGAGAGAGAGAGAGAGAGAGAGAGAGAGAGAGAGAGAGAGAGAGAGAGAGAGAGAGAGAGAGAGAGAGAGAACAAACTAATAGACACTTGTGTTCTGTGTTTACAGACCTTCTTCACCGAGAAAATGCCGACACAATGGTCGGCGAGAACCACTCAGAAGTGGTGGACAGACCTAACGGACAAGCAAAAAGAGGGGGTGTACAAGTGGATGAATGGCAACGTTTTCAATAACAGCTTAGTGTGAGTGATTTTCTCCCGTGAATTTACCCTGAAAAAGTTAATGCTTCATATACGCGAATATACATTTGTGCAATAAGATCAAGTTATTTATGTATAGGTGTGTACACGCGTATGTAGGAGTGTGTGTGCGTGTGCGTGTGCGTGTGCGTGCTTGCATGTTGCCCCGCGTGCGAGGATTGGTTCAAGGGTCTTCCCTGATGGACAATGTCATGTATATGTTCAGGAAGTGGACCCAGGAGCCTGACAACATCTTGGGCCGGGAACACTGTGCCACCATCCTACAGAAGGGCACTTTCAGCGACAGGGACTGCACCCAGAGCAACAACTACATCTGCAGGAAGGAACAACCCAGTCGTAAGACAATTGTTATATTCACCTTTGGAAATCTATGCAAACCTCGAAGGGACATTGTTCCGTTGTCTCCATATCAACACGAAAAAACAAACATTTTCGTTTTCGCTTTATCACCCCATCTGAATATACACACGATAAGCATTAAATGTACGTCATAATGATTACAATATGAATTTTCAATCTTTCCCATTATTGGTGCTAATGTAAACATTCGCATGCGCAGAAATCGTTTTACTCTTCAGTAGTCCTCATCTGGAAATATTCTGAAACTATTAGAGTGCCAGTGGAAACATGAAGCATATAGTTTTCTCAGAATAAAAATAAATCCTTCATTGTCCAGTAATCATTCATAAACATAACGTATTTTTACAACGAGAAACAAACACTGTGTATTTCTATAACTTTGGGGTTCAGTGGGGTAGCCTAGTGGTTAAAGCGTCTGCTCGTCACGATGAAGACCCGGGTTCGATTCCAACACATGGGTACACTGTGTGAAGCCCATTTCTGGTGTCCCCCGCCGTGAAATGAGTATTGCTAAAAGCGGCGCAAAACTAAAACTCACTTACTCTAGCTTTGGAAAAATCGTCCCAGAAGGTTGTCTGTACAGAGTTGCGTCAAGTATGGTTCACGAAATACCAGTGATCGATATAGTAGGTTCATGTCCACGCACAACACCAGTGTTAAACTTGCATCACTTTGGGTTTTCACCTTACGTCAAACTCACGCAGTAGTTTAACTGAAAGCGGCCTTAGAGATAGTCACAATCCCATGTTATACCTTTTGGGAACAGATGTGGAGACAGCCGAGTAAACTAGGGACATATATATTTCACAATAACGTTTTGGGTATGGCTATACTCAGTACATCAAATGTCAGATAACCGACAATCATTTTATTCATAGAAATTGCTCCTTCGTCAGTTATATTCATTTGTCGTCGACTTCGGACCTTGGACGTATTCACTGAAACGTTGAAGTGGTATAACCACTATATTGTCCGCTTCCAGAGCAGTATACGGTCAACTCTGGTCACCACTGTATGACGCGTCAGAGGTCAGTAGTACCGGGGTATAACCACTATATTGTCCGCTTCCAGAGCAGTATATGGTCAACTCTGGTCACCACTGTATGACGCGTCAGAGGTCAGTAGTACCGGGTATAATCACTATATTCGCTGTTTCCAGAGCAGTATACGGTCAACTCTGGTCACCACTGTATGACGTGTCAGAGGTCAGTAATACCGGGGTATAACCACTATATTGTCCGCTTCCAGAGCAGTATACGGTCAACTCTGGTCACCACTGTATGACGTGTCAGAGGTCAGTAGTACCGGGGTATAACCACTATATTGTCCGCTTCCAGAGCAGTATACGGTCAACTCTGGTCACCACTGTATGACGTGTCAGAGGTCAGTAGTACCGGGTATAACCACTATATTGTCTGCTTCCAGAGCAGTATACGGTCAACTCTGGTCACCACTGTATGACGTGTCAGAGGTCAGTAGTACCGGGGTATAACCACTATATTGTCCGCTTCCAGAGCAGTATACGGTCAACTCTGGTCACCACTGTATGACGTGTCAGAGGTCAGTAGTACCGGGGTATAACCACTATATTCCCTGTTTCCAGAGCAGTATACGGTCAACTCTGGTCACCACTGTATGACGTGTCAGAGGTCAGTAGTACCGGGGTATAACCACTATATTCCCTGTTTCCAGAGCAGTATACGGTCAACACTGGTCACCACTGTATGACGCGTCAGAGATCAGTAGTACCGGGTATAACCACTATATTCGCTGTTTCCAGAGCAGTATACGGTCAACTCTGGTCTCCACTGTATGATGCGTCAGAGGTCAGTAGTACCGGGGTATAACCACTATATTCCCTGTTTCCAGAGCAGTATACGGTCAACTCTGGTCTCCACTGTATGACGTGTCAGAGGTCAGTAGTACCGGGGTATAACCACTATATTTCCTGTTTCCAGAGCAGTATACGGTCAACTCTGGTCACCACTGTATGACGTGTCAGAGGTCAGTAGTACCGGGGTATAACCACTATATTCCCTGTTTCCAGAGCAGTATACGGTCAACTCTGGTCACCACTGTATGACGTGTCAGAGGTCAGTAGTACCCGGGTATAACCACTATATTCCCTGTTTCCAGAGCAGTATACGATCAACTGTGGTCACCACTGTATGACGTGTCAGAGGTCAGTAGTACCTGGGTATAACCACTATATTCCCTGTTTCCAGAGCAGTATACGGTCAACTCTGGAAACCACTGTATGACGTGTCAGAGGTCAGTAGTACCTGGGTATAACCACTATATTCCCTGTTTCCAGAGCAGTATACGGTCAACTCTGGTCACCACTGTATGACGTGTCAGAGGTCAGTAGTACCTGGGTATAACCACTATATTCCCTGTTTCCAGAGCAGTATACGGTCAACTCTGGTCACCACTGTATGACGTGTCAGAGGTCAGTAGTACCGGGGTATAACCACTATATTCCCTGTTTCCAGAGCAGTATACGGTCAACTCTGGTCACCACTGTATGACGTGTCAGAGGTCAGTAGTACCGGGTATAACCACTATATTCCCTGTTTCCAGAGCAGTATACGGTCAACTGTGGTCACCACTGTATGACGTGTCAGAGGTCAGTAGTACCGGGGTATAACCACTATATTCCCTGTTTCCAGAGCAGTATACGGTCAACTCTGGAAACCACTGTATGACGTGTCAGAGGTCAGTAGTACCCGGGTATAACCACTATATTCCCTGTTTCCAGAGCAGTATACGGTCAACTCTGGTCACCACTGTATGACGTGTCAGAGGTCAGTAGTACCTGGGTATAACCACTATATTCCCTGTTTCCAGAGCAGTATACGGTCAACTCTGGTCACCACTGTATGACGTGTCAGAGGTCAGTAATACCGGGGTATAACCACTATATTGTCCGCTTCCAGAGCAGTATACGGTCAACTCTGGTCACCACTGTATGACGTGTCAGAGGTCAGTAGTACCGGGGTATAACCACTATATTGTCCGCTTCCAGAGCAGTATACGGTCAACTTCGGCTGCGGAGACTGGGAGAGGGCGGGACAGAAGTGTTACCAGACCATCTCCTCGCCTACCAAGTCCTGGTCAGACGCCAAGACATCCTGCCAGTCGCTGGGGGGTAATCTGATGAAGATAGAAAATCACGATGAAATGGTTAGTGCACATAATCACTTGATCACTAGTGTGTCTCAAACTCAAGACTGGAATCATTTTGAAAGTTTATATCGCCTCAGCCCATGAAATGAAATCTCGTTCTGGGCACCATTTCGAGTATAGTTTCTTTTTTGTTGATATATATTTTTTAGATAAGATGATTCTGGAATAATTTCTGGGAATAAATGTTTGTCTAGATCGTCGGTATGTTGGAATGCACCCTGGCATAAACAACAGGGCAACAGAATATATTCACCTATTTCAGAAGGAACAGGCAAATGATTATTCTATAGTACTGTATCTGATACGAGTATAGTGATCACAGTGTCGACGGCTGTTTTCACCTAGTAACATTTTGATAACGTTTGTAATGTTTCGTCCAAGTATATACTTTCCTATACACAATAAACACAAGTTGAAAGTATGTATCTATAACACGTTGTGCCATATTCATAGAAGAAATATTGGCCTTTAAAGGGCCTCAGGACGTTGTACTCAGTTGAAATAAGGAATATTAATCAGGCAGTTAAGGAATACCTCTAACCGCAGATAATAATAATAATAATAATAATTGCATTTATATAGCGCTTCATTCACTAATAACTGCTCTCTGCGCTTAAGATGGAAATTGACACTTGACAAGAAATGTTTTGAGGCCAGTCTTAAAAAATGTTAGTGACTCGCTGGTTTTGAGTTCAAGCGGTAGCGCGTTCCACTTCATTGCTGCATTGAAAGCGAACGACCTTTTGCCAAAGTTGGTTTTGATGTTTGGCACTGTCACTAGCATTTGGTTTTGTGATCACAGATATATAACATATATGATCCGAGGCTGCATGTCATTCTTTGTCATTATGAGGAATGATTCATACTGGGTATACTTCCAGCACTGGTTGAGTTTCCAGTCGAAGACGTCGAAGATGTCCTATGGCGGCTACTGGATTGGCCTCAATGACCAGTCCAGCATGGATCATGTCAATTGGAACTGGGCGGACGGAAGCAAGGCCGATACGTCCTACTTGTAAGACGACATTGTTTTATACACTCTTCAAAAAGGCATGAGAATGTTGATTTTGTTCCGTGCATGGGTCTGAACTCTATAGACGTGTACGTCAACGTTAATAAACATAACAGCGACAACTGAACAGAAAATATGAGAGGGGAATTCTACGTGATTGAAACCGTAGACTCATTCGCTCTGTGCCAAGGAGGTGTAGAGCAGTGATAACAGCACAGAATGGTCACACTAGGTACTGAGAGGTACGCCTCGGTCGTGTGACCTCGTGTCTCTTGATGGGACGATTGTCTAAAGAACATGAAACTATCGACATACTATTCATCCTTGTATCAATCAAATACTATGAAATATGCACATTTAATTGAACACTGTGAAATGTTTCAAAATTAGCCTATGCGGTTCGTATATAGATTCATGGGTACAATGTGTGAAGCCCATTTTTGGTGTCCCCCGCCGTGATATTGCTGGAATATTGCTAAATGCGGCGTAAAACCATATTCAGTCAGTCAGTCTTATATAGATTACTGGGTGAAAGAAGGGGGGTCAAGATGATTCATGGCGAGGCTGTGTCTGAAACACTGTGTTTGCTAATACATCAGTATGACATACCCTACTCATCACGTGTGCCATGTTACCGCGTCGCTCACCCCATGGGTCTAATTTTATACTCCAACTTGATGTTTAGGGTATGGAATCAAGAGCCCGACGACCTGAACGGTGATGAGGACTGCGCCGCATTGGGAACCGATGGCGTCTACACCGACTGGAACTGCGAGCACTTCCATAATGGATTCATCTGTGAGAAACCAAAAAGTAAGGGGGCCCTGACTGTTGTGTGTTTAGTGAGATTTGCTTCCCTCCCTCATTTAGGCGGTAGCTGAGTGGAGAGAGCGAAGATCGCACCGAAGGCCGTTAGTGAAGGTTATTTCTGGTGTCACCCATACCATGATATTGCTGCATGCGTGGTTATTTTAATTATTCGTAACGTGCATTTATTTATATTTTATAGAAATTCTTATATTCAGAAACTGTTTGAAATTGGTGAGTATAGAACTGACTGACTGAGTTGAGTGTTACGTCGCTTTTAGCAATATTCCAGCAATATCACGGCGGGGGACACCAGAAATGGACTTCACACATAGTGCCCATGTGGGGAATCGAACCCGGGCCTTCGGCGTGACGAGCAAGTGCTTTAACCACTAGGCTACCCCGCCGTCCAGTGAGTATAGAAGAAATCATACAGCTTTGTGGATAACGACTTCTGGAGTATTGTATTTGGCACGTTTCGATGTACATTCCTGTGCGTCAATATTCAGATTTAAAAAGTTGGTATATAAATATTGTTTCATGTTTCATGACAAATAAGCTCCATGACACTGAACACACAGGAGCATCACTGCCCATCGACACATACAACATCGTTACCCACAAACAGCTCTTCCTGTCTCCTCAAACTGGTAGTTAATTATTCATACCTTCGTTGGGACCTGGAATAGTTCCCCAGGAGTCATTACTTAAGGCAAGAGGCCGCTGATGTTTGTTATATGTGGATTATTACTGATTGTGACGTTGAATAACACATTGAGGTTGTATTGTATGTGTGAGGCAACTTGTGGAATTTGGTTTGGCACTGTTTTTTATTTGGTCTAAATGATCACAAATAAATATTTGCAGAAAATCAGGCCTGTCCTACCAGTTGGGTTCTCAACAGCGCCAGCAACACGTGCTACCTCATCGCCTCGAACTGGACCACTTGGCACGAGGCCTCGGGCAAGTGCCCCACGTTGTCGGGGGATGGTTCCGGTACGTTACTGGCAATAGACACACAAGCGGAACAGGTGAGTAGCTGGGGCCCTGTTGTGGTCAAATATCATCTGTAGGGATTGGCAAACTGAGCGATGCCCCAGTTCTCAGTGTTTGTATCCTCTGCCCTAGCTTTGTTTATATACCTGGTCATCACTATCAATTAATAGTTTACAGATCTGATAAGGGAATACTTATTCAAAACTGGATGAAACTGAAATATTGGTCTGAAATTAGTTTGGGAAATTGACAAGTATCGGTTGTAATGATATTCGAAGATAAGTCTGTTCCCCTAAGCAAGGGGCGGTGGGGTAGCCTAGTGGTTAAAGCGTTGGCTCGTCACGCCGAAGACCCGGGTTCGAATCCCCACATGGGCACAATGTGTGTGAAGCCCATTTCTGGTGTCCCCTGCCGTGATGTTGCTGGAATATTGCTAAAAGCGGCGTAAAACCAAACTCAGTCAGTCAGTCAGTCCCCTAAGCAAAGGAACGTGCTAACAAGGCACCGTAATCTTAAATAAATTTCGATTGATTTTACAAAATACCTTCGTAACCAGAATGAACACATGGGGACATAGGTCAAAACAGGTCGACACAAGCCGCCAGATGACACGTTGGAATAAGGATAAAGCTGGCAATAAACACGATTATTAAAGGGAAGAACCTGTCGACCACAAACATACATTACAGCTAGATTATTTTTGAAAAAGAAACGAAATATGATTGTATGTTTAGATAAAAGTATCTGGTTTCGCATCTATAGCAGAACCACTATCTCGTCTCTATACAAAGCAACCCCAATCACCCCGACCCCCTCCAAACCCAGCCTCAGCCCCTGCCTCAGCCCCTGCCTCAGCCCAAACTTCAGCCCTCAAACCCAGTATCAGGTGGTCGGAGAATTAATAGTGTTTTAATTCAGCCGTCTTATATTTCCAGGATTTCATTCTGGGTCAGCTGGCCGGCGTGACAAAAAGTCCCTTCTATTTCTGGACGGGTCTGACGGACAGGGCACTGGAGGGCCTATGGCAGTACAGTAGGAGTGCCGACAACTCTCCCACGGCCCAAGGGCTGATGTAAGTGTAATTTATAGAACCCGGAATACAACGAAAAGTCCGGACGTTTATATTGCCCCGTGTCGCTCAGGTGGTTTAACTTGAACCGAAACATAACTGACAGAGCTTGAATAGTGAACACAACCCTTACTGGACTAAATAACGGTACTTCGTCTTACACGATATAATTACGTTCGAGTTGAAGAGGTGTCAATGCTTACAATCACATTCTTATTTGTGCAAACCATGTGAGTTGCGGGTGTTACCGGTACCGCAAGACATGCTTGGCTTTACTACTACTCTTACTACTACTCTTACTACTACTCTTACTACTACTACTACTGCTGCTGCTGCTTCTACTACTACTACTACTGCTGCTGCTGCTGCTACTACTACTACTACTACTGCTGTTACTACTACTACTACTACTCTTTACTACTACTACTACTACTACTACTACTACTGCTGCTGCTGCTACTACTACTACTACTACTACTGCTGCTGCTGCTACTGCTGCTGCTACTACTACTCCTACTACTACTGTTACAGTCACAACTTGTTTTACGATGCTTTTAGCAATATTCCAGCAATATCATGACGGGGGACACACATTGCACCCATGTGGGGCAACGATCCCCGGGTCTTCGTCATGACGAACGAACTCTTTAATCAACCTGTCACAACTTGGAACCTCGTATCGTAAATGATAATAGTGAACATAAGTATCATGTTTTCAGTAAATGGAACACGGAACCGAACAACTGGCATAACAATGAGCACTGCGTGAGCACCGCCTTCGGGGGCCGCCTAAACGACGCCACGTGTTCAGCCAAGTCGGGTTACATATGTGAGAAGTATGCTTCAGGTACGTACAGCTGCGTCATGAACGGATGAGATGTTGGCTAAGTGCACGTACAGCTGCGTCATGAACGGATGTGTTGTTGGCTAAGTGCACGTACAACTGCGTCATGAACGGATGTGTTGTTGGCTAAGTGCACGTACAGCTGCGTCATGAACGGATGTGTTGTTGGCTAAGTGTACGTACAACTGCGTCATGAACAGATGTGTTGTTGGCTAAGGGCACGTACAGCTGCGTCATGAACGGATGTGTTGATGGCTAAGTGTACGTACAACTGCGTCATGAACAGATGTGTTGTTGCTTAAGTGCACGTACAGCTGCGTCATGAACAGATGTGTTGTTGGTTAAGTGCACGTACAGCTGCGTCATGAAGGGATGTGTTGTTGGCTAAGTGCACGTACAGCTGTGTGTCATGAACGGTTGTGTTGTTGGCTGTGTTGTGGCTAAGTGCACGTACAGCTGCGTCATGAAGGGATGTGTTGTTGTCTAAGTGTACCTACAACTGCGTCATGAAAAGATGTGTTGTTGCCTATGTGCACGTACAACTGCGTCATGAACAGAGGTGTTGTGATGCCTAAGTGCACGCACAGCTGCATCATGAACGGATGTGTTGTTGGCTAAGTGCACGTACAGCTGCGTCATGAACAGATGTGTTGTTGGCTAAGTGCACGTACAGCTGCGTCATGAACGGATGTGTTGTTGGCTAAGTGCACGTACATCAGCGTCATGAACGGATGTGTTGTTGGCTAAGTGTACGTACAGCTGCGTCATGAACAGATGTGTCGTTGGTAATGCGTATGTATAGCTTAGTCATGAACGGATGTGTTGTTGGTTATGTGCATGTATAGCTTAGTCATGAACGGGTGTGTTGTTGGTTATGCGTATGTATAGCTTAGTCATGAACAGGTGTGTTGTTGGTTATGTGTATGTATAGCTTAGTCATGAACGGGTGTGTTGTTGGTTATGCGTATGTATAGCTTAGTCATGAACGGATGTGTTGTTGGCTATGTGTATGTATAGCTTAGTCATGAACGGTGTGTTGTTGGTTATGCGAATGTATAGTCATGAACGGGTGTGTTGTTGGTTATGCGTATGTATAGCTTAGTCATGAACGGGTGTGTTGTTGGTTATGCGTATGTATGTGTTGTTGGTCATGAACATGGTGTGTTGTTGGCTATGCGTATGTATAGCTTAGTCATGAACGGGTGTGTTGTTGGCTATGCGTATGTATAGCTTAGTCATGAACGGGTGTGTTGTTGGCTATGCGTATGTATAGCTTAGTCATGAACGGGTGTGTTGTTGGCTATGCGTATGTATAGCTTAGTCATGAACGGGTGTATTGTTTGGCTAGCCTCAGGTAACAAGCCACCTCCTGAATGATCATCACTTTATAAGTTTGCGTGTTGAGATAACACGTGGATGAGTGGGCGACATATGCATAGTACTGGCTGTCAGACTTACATAAATGGGTCTTGCATCAACAAAACATCGCGGTATCTGGTCATATATACTATATAAGTGAAGATAGAAATTGGGTCGCTTTATCCTTGATTTGGAGCTTGCAGAATGGAAAAACTGAAATGGGACGAAAATATACTGACTGACTGAGTTTGGTTTTACGCCGCTTTTAGCAATATTCCAGCAACATCACGGCGGGGGACACCAGAAATGGGCTTCACACATTGTACCCATGTGGGGATTCGAACCCGGGTCTATGGCGTGACGAGCCAACGCTTTAACCACTAGGCTACCCCACCGCCCCACGAAAATATACACTGTTTGATGGTGAATTGTTTTGTTTGATTGGTTGTTCAGAATTCAACACCAGCATTAATAATACATGATTATTGGCAGCAATATACGATGTCAACGAGATACATTAACCAGTCTCGATTTTCCCCCGAAACGGATTTTGTGAGCTATGGATAATAAATGGATTACTAAACATTGGGGAACACCAGGTGTTCGCGAAAAAAGGGTAAGCACGTCCTATCCTGCAGGTAGCAGCCCCCCTAACTAGAACACCAGTAAACCTTCCCAGATATAGTGAGTACACAGTGAATATGTCCGTCATGGTCTCATTCCAATGACTGACTGAGTTTGGTGTTACGCCGCTTTTAGCAATATTCCAGCAATATTACGGCGGGGGGCACCATAAATGGGCTTCACACATTGTACCCATGTGGGGAATCGAACACGGGCCTTCGACATGACGAGCGAACGCTTTAACCACTAGGCTACCCACGAGCCCCTCATTCCACTGACGCCAGTGGGTGGCCAATATGCTTCTGTCAGTAAACAACACATATAAACAAGACAACAATGTATCAACTAACCCTCATTGAGATATAGTATTCCGGAATTTGTTATAGGATAAACAATTGCTATTATCTTTCACTCATTCATATTTCTTCCTATACCTGCCCAGGTTTTTATGATCTTTGACTCTTGTCATAACGATGACATCATTATAGCGTGGAATATCAGACACCTTTTGCTGGAGGCAAGTCACAATTTTAAGGCAAGATTGCTCAAGCCACGGGAGTCATTTTGTGAATAAATTGTGTGGAATGTAAGAGTGTGCTTCAAACACGAACAGGGATTAAAAGTTTATAACCTCTTTGGATGTGTGCGGGAAAATATTAAGAAAATACACGAAGGACTGAGTCTGACAATTGTTAATTTTCAGTAAAATATTGGAGTATTGGTAATGAAATCTTTACACGATCGTCCTGCTTCGTCATTTTCCATCGTATTATACGTATATTGTCAGCTTAAGAATTAATGAAAATGTTAGCTGACTTGTCACAATACCGTAGTTGAGTTCTCCTACTATCCCACTGTTGGACAGGACCGGCTTGTGTCGCCACATTGTCAGATACTTTAAAGTCACAATACCGTGGTTGAGTTCTCCTACTATCCCACTGTTTGGCAGGACCGGCTTGTGTCGCCACGTTGTCATATACTGTTACAGGAGTCACAATACTTTAAAGTCACAATACCGTGGTTGAGTTCTCCTACTATCCCACTGTTTGGCAGGACCGGCTTGTGTCGCCACATTGTCAGATATTTTCAAGTCACAATACCGTGGTTGAGTTCTCCTACTATCCCACTGTTGGGCAGGACCGGCTTGTGTCGCCACATTGTCAGATACTTTAAAGTCACAATACCGTGGTTGAGTTCTCCTACTATCCCACTGTTGGGCAGGACCGGCTTGTGTCGCCACATTGTCAGATACTTTAAAGTCACAATACCGTGGTTGAGTTCTCCTACTATCCCACTGTTTGGCAGGACCGGCTTGTGTCGCCACATTGTCAAATACTTTAAAGTCACAATACCGTGGTTGAGTTCTCCTACTATCCCACTGTTGGACAGGACCGGCTTGTGTCGCCACATTGTCAGATACTTTAAAGTCACAATACCGTGGTTGAGTTCTCCTACTATCCCACTGTTGGACAGGACCGGCTTGTGTCGCCACATTGTCAGATACTTTAAAGTCACAATACCGTGGTTGAGTTCTCCTACTATCCCACTGTTGGACAGGACCGGCTTGTGTCGCCACATTGTCACATACTTTAAAGTCACAATACCGTGGTTGAGTTCTCCTACTATCCCACTGTTTGGCAGGACTTGTTTGTGTCACTCCCGCTATCCCTTGAATGTTACCCTAGTGGTAAATGGATTGTTCGTCACAATCGTGGTTGGGTCTACTATCCCACCAGGACTGGTTTTGTCCTTGAATGTTACATGTCGAAAGAATATAAGACTTCTAATAACTGTTGCTGGTGTAAACATAGTATTCTTTGTTTTTGTTCTTTATGAAGAGAATTGAATGTGATTATCAAAATGTAGCTTAAAAATATTTTTAGTGTATAATTAACCTCTATATCAGCAAACCCTCATCCATCAAAATTAATTCTGAAATTAATCAAAAGATGTGCTTATTTGTAATAACATATTATCCATCTTCTATGCTGAGTATGTTTCATAAACGATAATAAACACAGGTTATGTTTAACTTCATACATTTATCACCTCAGTGTGTGACATGTGTCGCTCGCTTGGTATAATCACTAAAACTTGTAGCAGAGATGACATGTTGAAAGTGTTCCGGGGCGTACCTATCTTGCATAAAACATGGCCATCTTCCTACAAACCTGCCATATCTGTGACAAGTTCAGGTACATCTGACAATATATGCGTAATGTAGTAATTCGTGTAAATAGAAAAAAAAGCAATATTCTTTTAAAATGCTGAGGTAAGATCTTACAAATATATTTGCATTATTTCAATTATACAAAGGGTAACGTCTGTTGACTGCCGTTGGCCTTATGTATACTCTGCTAAAAAGAAACGCAAAATTGTTGTTTTCTGTTGTATAGTTCATGTATTATATGAATAAGCAACATCGCATGACACCACAATAAATTGTTCTAATTTGGCACAATCATCGTCACTGACCGTGGTTCATCATGGCATAGTTGAAACAATCGAATGTCAAGGTGAAGGTCATCTGTACTCAATATCTTGTATAGCCCCCATGGGAGTCCAGAACCTAGCATCGTCGCCTCACGGAACCAATCAGATAACGAATTGTGGCTGTTGAATGTTCACCCACTCTTCCTGCACTGCTTGGAGTGTTGCTGTTGAATGTTCACCCACTCTTCCTGCAGCTTCGAGTGTGGCTGTTGCTGATCGCAGACGTTCTTCAAGAGCATCTAATAAATGTTCGACGGGGTTTACATCTGGAGACCTTGAGGGTCATGGCAGTACATGGATGTTGTGATGTCTTTCAGTGGCATTTAGAAGTTGTACATTGATGTCCAAGATATTTTTATGGATTAAACTTCTTTGTTAATTTCTCTGACGACGTTTTCGAGACCATTCCAGGTCCCTTCATCAGGTGAACTGGCAGTTAGGACTATGACGTCGTCACTATGACGTCATAACTGAGTTATGACGTCACAATCTAAGTGACATCACAGTACACTAGGGAGAGTACTGTATAAGTGAGTTTGAAGAGTTAATTACATAATGATGAAAATTCATGCTAAATAATAGAGTTGAAAGTTGAATTGTCAATACACAACAACTGCTAATTACACAAAGGTTACTTGATAGCAGGCTTTCAAAAGAATAGTAGACTCGTTTTTTCTTTTGATGAACTTTAGATAAAAAGAAAAACGAGTTTACTATTCTTTTTTGAAAGCCTGCTATCAAGTAACCTTTGTGTAATTAGCAGTTGTTGTGTGTATTGACAATTCAACTTTCAACTCTATTATTTAGCATGAATTTTCATCATTATGTAATTAACTCTTCAAACTCACTTATACAGTACTCCTAGTGTACTGTGATGTCACTTGCATTGTGACGTCATAACTCAGTTATGACGTCATAGTGACGACGTCATAGTCCTAACTGTCAGTTCACCTGATGAAGGGACCTGGAATGGTCTCGAAACGTCGTGAGAGAAATTAACAAAGAAGTTTAATCCATAAAAATATCTTGGACATGGATGTTGTGGTTTCTCAAAATGGCCGATGTCATTCTTGCCGTGTAAGGTCGGGCGTTTTCGTGTTGAAATATGACGTTTGCTTGTTGCATAATGAAAAGGACATGTGGCTGAAGACTTTTGTCTGTGTAACGTTGTTACCCTCGAAATTGCTGTTCTGTCGGCATGGGAGATGGCGGCCCACATCATTACACTTTCGTCACCAAACCTGTCAACTTCCTGCATGTAGTTTTGAGCATACCGTTCCCAACGACGTCTGTAAACACGACGTCTTCCGTATGTAGAAGTATGGAGAAGCAAAAGACATGACTCGGCCCTAACACAAACACGTCTCCATCGCTGTGCCTACCTTTGTGTCCTTGACGCCATTGACGTCGCGGCCGACGACGTTGATCAGTCAGACTGACGCCTGGAACTTGTCGTCTGGGCCGAATACCTGCGGTGCGCAGACGGTTCCTCGCTGTCTTGGCTTAAATCGTAGGCATTCTCGGTATTGCTGTAGCTGTAGAGGTGGCCGTGGTGAGTCTATCATGTAAGTGACGAACCCGTATGAATCTACGCTGCAGCTGTGACACGTGGTCGACCTGAGCTGGATAGGTCACGTGATGACTGCGTCTGATAACGGTTCCATAGTTTTGTAATGATGCTTGCCGATACGTGGAAAATAAAACTGGCTCCGGAGCCGAGTCGCCTGTCTGCAGTCGGCCGATGGTGTTACGTTGGGCTTTTCTCAGTCGTGGCATGTTTCTCTTTTCACTAAATGTACAATTGTGATGACAGACAAATATAACCCATCGTTTTCACAGCACAATATTAATGTTGCACGTTCTTTTCATGTTGGTGTGTTTGGCTCTCACGTGCTCTCACTTGGTTGCGTTGTTGCGGTTCCTTACTTTTTGCTGTTTTGTTTGTTGTAATTTATTCTATCCGCACAAATCACTCCCGATGTATGGAGACATGAGAAATTTATATTTTGAATTAATTCATTTTGTATGAATGTCAGTAAAACTCCGACAGATATTTCAATTTTGTTGGTACTTTTGCGTTTCTTCTTTTGCAGAGTATATTCACAGTTAACGTTTACGTTTTATTTACTCTCACAGTTTCATCTAGTCGATGTATTAGAGGGAATGAGATGGTCATGCGTTGACGACATTTATTTCTGTTGCAGGCTACTCGACTGCCGGATTAACAACCTTGCCCTTCAATGAGCTGACCTTGACCGTAATTGCTCTCTTGACCTTAACCATGGGACACTGACACCTACCTTCGTCCTGCTTCATATTGGGTGCTATTGTCTAGATTGTTAAATTTGTGTATTTTGGTATCTTTTTGTGTACATTTTGACGGACATCGAAAACTCGTGTAAACCCTGTCCTTCTGAGATTCACACACACATTCTTAGCATATCTCAACGCTACCTGTCCTGCGATAGTAGCGAGAAGGCAATTAAGACAATCACAGTCAAAGAGAACTTTTTTGTTGTATTTGAATACTTCTTCGAGGTTTGTTCTGTCGATATGGTTCTTTGGACCCTGAAAATAATATCGACAAAAATATTTCATCTACTTAAGAAATATCTACCCCAAAGAGGATTTTGCGACTTCGGGAACACCATGACACATCTGTACCTGCATCATCAACATTATCAGTTGTGGTGAAGCTAGATGCTCGCGAAGGTGATCTTATCCTGCCCCACCAGTGACACTCGTCACAAACACACGCAAAGGCTAGTCAACTGTTCATCTTAGTACAGAGGAATATATACTGCAAGTAAAGAACACCAACGTCTTTCGCGAGGACACGTCTTGGGAAAAAACATTCCAGCACCTTTACGGTTCTGGGTCCCGATCCACAAACATTCGTAACGTTACGACCTGTCGTAACTCTATAGTTTATCATAGGCTTACGGGTGTCGTAGCGCTACGAACGCTTAGTGGATCGGGACCACACTTATACGCACTTATAATACAGATGAATCTTATGACATGTGACCAATACAATATCAACACTGGAATTGTGTGTCATTCCTTTTATGTTGCACGTTGTTACGAACAAATGATGTCAGATACCCTTCTTCGTATGTCACACTGCTCAGGAATACGTATGACGTATTCGTTTGCCACATATATACTCCTCCGTTTTTATTAGGGACTGATTTTACATTCCATGATACACAAAATTGATACTCATAATGACATCCAAATATATATTGGTGTTTGTTTTCAACTCATTGCACATATGAATAAACAATTTTACTTTGATACTTTTGCCTACCGATGTATAAAATGGCGCTAAAAGAAACTTTAATTCAGTCTACTTTACAAAACACAAAAGATGCATAAAGTAAAATGTTTTGAAATAATAGAAATCGCAACATTCAAGATGACGGTCATACACCACCAAATGACAGTCGCCTCAGTTGAGTTTGGGTAGGAATGAGTTGTACGTAATGGACAAACTTGCTCAAGTTCATTGGACGTCTTTTTAATAGTGCGTATGACTTCCCGCTGCTACAAGTTACACACAAATTCTTCAGAGCACAGACATTCAGTCGCCTGTGACAAGTCATCGTATTTCTGGGTGGGCCTGGATCAGTTCTTGTCGGTCGTCTGATGTCGTGACGTGGATCTAGTCATCGTATTTCTGGGTGGGCCTGGATCAGTTCTTGTCGGTCGCCTGATGTCGTGACGCGGATCTAGTCATCGTATTTCTGGGTGGGCCTGGATCAGTTCTTGTCGGTCGTCTGATGTCGTGACGTGGATCTAGTCATCGTATTTCTGGGAGGGCCTGGATCAGTTCTTGTCGGTCGTCTGATGTCGTGACGTGGATCTAGTCATCGTATTTCTGGGTGGGCCTGGATCAGTTCTTGTCGGTCGTCTGATGTCGTGACGTGGTCATCGTCTAGGGCATCGTTCTTCTGGATGGGACTGGATCAGTTCTTGTCGGTCGTCTGATGTCGTGACGTGGGTCATCTAGTCATCTTGTCGGTTCTTCTGGGTCTAGGTGGGGCCTGGATCAGTTCTTGTCGGTCGTCTGATGTCGTGACGTGGGTCTAGTCATCGTTCTTCTTCTGGATGGGCCTGGATCAGTTCTTGTCGGTCAGGTCGTCTGATGTCGTGACGTGGGTCTAGTCATCGTTCTTCTGGATGGGCCTGGATCAGTTCTTGTCGGTCGCCTGATGTCGTGACGTGGGTCTAGTCATCGTTCTTCTGGGTGGGCCTGGATCAGTTCTTGTCGGTCGTCTGATGTCGTGACGTGGGTCTAGTCATCGTTCTTCTGGGTGGGCCTGGATCAGTTCTTGTCGGTCGTCTGATGTCGTGACGTGGGTCTAGTCATCGTTCTTCTGGGTAGGCCTGGATCAGTTCTTGTCGGTCGTCTGATGTCGTGACGTGGGTCTAGTCATCGTTCTTCTGGGTGGGCCTGGATCAGTTCTTGTCGGTCGTCTGATGTCGTGACGTGGGTCTAGTCATCGTTCTTCTGGGTGGGCCTGGATCAGTTCTTGTCGGTCGTCTGATGTCGTGACGTGGGGGTTCTTCTAGTCATCAGTTCTTGTCGGTCGTCTGATGTCGTGACGTGGGTCTAGTCATCGTTCTTCTGGATGGGCCTGGGTCAGTTCTTGTCGGATGACTGGATGATGTTGTCGCTGTAGACGATGTCCCACAACATGACAGAGGTGTACGCAGAACACGGCAGATCGTTGACGTTGTTGACGTTAAGACGTGTCCGAACAGTTCGGGCTGCATTGTGTCTGGCGTTGTCATGCTGATGAAAGCCACCACGTGACAACTGTTGAAGAAATGGTAGGACGATTGGAAGAAGAATGTTATCCATGTACCGCTGAGCTGTCAAATTATCCTTGTCCAATGACCAGGGATGTGGACAATACGGGTGTTATCTCGTGTCCACAAATTCCTTCCCACACAGTAACATCCCCACCACTAGACGGCACGACCTCCTGAATGCACAGTCACAGAACCGACCTCTAATATTTGTATAGAACTCGGTCAGTTCCGGTATCAGTGTAAGTGTCTCACATGCCGGCAGTGTCATCTAAAACACCTGATTGTGCAGGAAAGTACGGCTGCCCAAGCTTCACTTTTTCATAATTTCAACAAAAGATAAAAACGAAACAAAACAAGACCAATCACTTTCTGCTAAGAGCATTTTTTTTGGTGTGTTTGGACGATGTGATTTCAATTAATTTAATTTGAACTTATGTTTTCTATATTTTTGTAATTTCATTTTCAAAGTGGTAAAGTTTCTTTTGACGGTCAGTTACAAACTTTCTCATCAAATTGCCTAAGACGAGAGTGCGTCACCCAACCCTACCCCTACCCCTACCCCTACCCCCACCCCCACCCAAACCCCTACCCTTACCCCAACCTCTACCCCGAACCAGTTCCATACAACCGGACCCGTGAAGATCCGGGTTAGAATTGATATTCAGTAACCCATGTTTGTCGTAAGAGGCGACTAACGGGATCGGGTTGTCAGACTCGCTGACTTGGCTGACACATGTCATCGTATCCCAATTGCGTAGATCGATGTTCATGCTGTTGATCACTGTATTGTCTGGTCCAGACTCAATTATTTACAGACCGCCGCCATATAGCTGGAATATTGCAGAGCAGCAACCCAAACCAGTGTGTACCGGCATACCACTTAACTTGATGTACAGAGCTAGTACAAGTAAATACACAGGGGATGTCACATAGACCGCGCGTGAAACACTTACAGCTAAATATTTCATTGATTTATCACTCTTTGCAAAAGAAAAGAGCACGCATATATTTTAACATTAATACAAGCCAAACAAAGGGGTGGCATACTATGAGGTGCCGTCGTCCTAAGCGCAGAGATCTTACAACAGAAGTACCGCTGACGACGATCATTATCGGAACCATTTTCCTCAAGGTTTTTTGCCACATCGCTGTGAAACATCGAACCATCTACGATGCCTTCCACATTACCTTCGGTGAAGCAAATTCGTGTTCAAAGCGGCACTAAATCTAACTCACCAACTAATTCAATCCTATCTCCAACACCTGAACATGAACGTCAGCAATATGGGGTGAAGAGTCACTGAACCATTGGAATAATGATCACGTTAGAGGTATTGGAGTTTCCTCGACAGGTCAGCGCGTCCTGTCATCCTGTCCACCACGCTTAGAGTGGTGGAGGTCAAGCTGACCAGTCAAGGATGAAGCATCATTTGATAGAAAGAGACTCGCGTCAAAACCATTCACCCTTTATGTGCCAAACCACGTCCTGCTGGGTGCAGTGTCTTGGCCCATGTGAGCTATGTACTCCTGTGACATGGGGCCATGAATCAGCCCTCTTTGTTGTTGACATTGACGGCCGTTGCGTCTTTGTTACTTCGCCGTGACAGGATCCACATGGTGAAAAATACACCAGGACTTATTATATCACGATATACTTTTTGGTTTTTACAGTGACACAGGAGCTTGAAGGCTTGACGGTGATGTGAGTGAATGCATGAGAGTGCGTTTGTGCATGTGGGTTCATGTGTGGAAAAGGAGGCATGATCGACATGCTGGAGTTCGTCTAAAGGGATCGGGTGGTCATGTTCGCTAACTTGGTTGACACAAGTCATCGTACACCAGATGCATAGATGGATGCTCATGCTGTTGATCACCGGGACCAGTCTCTCTCTTCTCTCTCTCTCTCTCTCTCTCTCTCTCTCTCTCTCTCTCTCTCTCTCTCTCTCTCTCTCTCTCTCTCTATCTCTCTCTCTCTTGTAAATATCGAAAGCGAACGGCAGAGAATATATATAGCAAATATATATACACTCAGAATCAAATATATAGCAACCACCTGGAAGATTCTCATTAGAATAACAATTATTCCTTTATATATTCTTCTTACAGAGGATATTCCGTAAAAACATTTTTAATTTGATCAAAATAGTTATTTATTCAACAATATTAATTAATGATCTGTAGTTTACATGCTAACACTTTATGATCTGTAGTCTACATGCTAACACTTTATGATCTGTAGTCTACATGCTAACACTTTATGATCTGTAGTTTACATTCTAACACTTTATGATCTGTAGTTTACACGCTAACACTTTATGATCTGTAGTCTACATGCTAACACTTTATGATCTGTACTTTACACGGTAACACTTTATGATCTGTAGTCTACATGCTAACACTTTATGATCTGTAGTCTACATGCTAACACTTTATGATCTGTAGTCTACATGCTAACACTTTATGATCTGTACTTTACACGGTAACACTTTATGATCTGTAGTCTACATGCTAACACTTTATGATCTGTAGTCTACATGCTAACACTTTATGATCTGTAGTCTACATGCTAACACTTTATGATCTGTTGTCTACATGAGTTACATGCTAACACTTTAGGATCTGTAGTCTACATGCTAACACTTTATGATCTGTAGTCTACATGCTAACACTTTATGATCTGTAGTCTACATGCTAACACTTTATGATCTGTAGTCTACATGCTAACACTTTATGATCTGTACTTTACACGGTAACACTTTATGATCTGTAGTCTACATGCTAACACTTTTATGATCTGTAGTCACTAACATGATCTGTAGTCTACATGCTAACACTTTATGATCTGTTGTCTACATGCTAACACTTTATGATCTGTAGTCTACATGCTAACACTTTATGATCTGTAGTCTACATGCTAACACTTTATGATCTGTAGTCTACATGCTAACACTTTATGATCTGTAGTCTACATGCTAACACTTTATGATCCGTACTTTACACGGTAACACTTTATGATCCGTACTTTACACGGTAACACTTTATGATCTGTAGTCTACATGCTAACACGTTATGATCTGTAGTCTACATGCTAACACTTTATGATCTGTAGTCTACATGCTAACACTTTATGATCTGTAGTCTACATGCTAGCACTTTATGATCTGTAGTCTATATCCTAACACTTTATGATCTGTAGTCTACATGCTAACACTTTATGATCTGTAGTCTATATCCTAACACTTTATGATCTGTAGTCTATATCCTAACACTTTATGATCTGTAGTCTACATGCTAGCACTTTATGATCTGTAGTCTATATCCTAACACTTTATGATCTGTAGTCTACATGCTAACACTTTATGATCTGTAGTCTACATGCTAACACTTTATGATCTGTAGTCTACATGCTAACACTTTATGATCTGTAGTCTACATGCTAACACTTTATGATCTGTACTTTACACGGTAACACTTTATGA